ATTTTTTCTATAGCAGTTTGTTTGGTCTCCTCCTTGATTTTCTCAATCCTTTCCTCTTCAGCCTTGGCTAAAAGTGGCTGTGAGAGCTCTTCTATATTGAGCACCACTGCACCATAATGCTGGGCCAAAAGACTGCATATGGTGCTTTTTCCAGCCAGAGGAGGGCCAATGATTGAGACCTTGCAAGGAGGCCTAGGCATTGGAGGAATGAGGTACCTAAATGGATTTTCTACAAACTTGCAGTAGGCCTCCTCAGATGAGAGTATGTACAGCTTGTCCTGAAAGCTGTGCAATGTTTGAGAGGTAAAACCATTTTAATCAGTCACAACTGGAAAACATGTATTAATTCATTTGATAGCACTCACCCAACAGAAAATTCATGCTTTCCTTCAAAAATATTGCCCTCCTTTAGGGCAACAGGACAAGCTCTGCCCCAGCGGCTTCTTTTCCACGGAAAACCAGGTGCCACAGTTCTGATGGAGGACATATATTTTAGAAGGTATTCCTGTAAAATAGATAAACACCAAATAAGATAGATTTAAGTTAAATCCGTAGTAGTTTCAGCAGAGAAGTAGCGTCTCCACTCAAGTCGTTTTACAGTTACAATAAAATAATACAAAAGTAAACCATGAGGATGACCATACTGTGTCAACAATGTCTGGTAGTTCTTTAGCATAATGGCTGAGGAGGACTGGAACAGAGACATGCTTTATAGCCATGGTTTCAAGACGGGCCATCACAGACTGCAAGACAAAAGTAGAAATAAAACACAGTCAGTTAAAGACACCAGATGGTAAAATTCTGCATTTCTGTCTTTACCATGTGTAGTTCTTCAGTTGTACTGTTTCCATCCAGATGCAAGATGTAGAGGGGGTTGTGCTCTGAAATATAGTCCTGGAAAAATGTCAAGTAATAACAAACATATTTGGTCAAAGAAGTATTTTTAAGACCCTCCGCGGTTTCTTTAAATGTCTAGTTTTTCATTTTGTTTTTGCATAACTTGTGTTATTGGAGTAACTCACAACAAACGATCCTAGGTTATGTATTTTGTGATTCATTGCAATCGGTTATGATGCATTTTATCCAGTCTTTAATATGACATAAATACAATAGAGTAGGCTACTCTTTGTTTTGTTGTTGTTTGTTTTTTCTATAACATGTAAATTTAACAAACAGATAAAGAGTCCGACTACAGTGGCTAAGACAAGGAGTAGACTCAAAGGTGCCGTAGGAGATCTTTGGAAAAACGGTTCCAGAAAGCTTTATTTTTGAAAATACACAACCATGCCTCTCCTTTCAGACCACCCCTCGAAACCACGCCTTCAAAACACATGAACGCGCATGCTGTCTGTCGAGGTGTTTGGTTGTTTCTGAGATCGACAACGACACAAGCCGAGACAGAGTGCTCGTGACACAAGTTAACATCATAACAGTGGCTAGCTTGCAGCCATGGCATCCTCGTCTCTGTCTACATTTCTCGTTCATGTGTCATGGTATGCGCGCAGGAGGGAGGGAGAAGCAGAAGACCCTGATTGACGTCTCAGGAACCAATAGTGGACCACTGACCGTGTTTTGTGATTGGTGGGTGTTACTCATTGATTTCACACTGTAGCGGGGACCATTTTTTTCGTTTCACTTCTAGACCTTCTATTTCACTGCTTGCTAAGCGGCTGTGGGGAGATCTTCAAGTCACATGGTACAAAATGCGTCAGAAAAGATCTCCTACTACATCTTTAAGGACAAATCTTTGGGCTTAAGTGTCCAAAATAGTTCCAGTTTTCCTATTTGGGGATTAAAAAAAATACTACTTTCTGAGCTTTCTCATAAAAAAAGACATTACGAACTGAAACTAGAATTGGTAAGTTTTCTTTTTTTAAAGTCAGAAATGTATCAACATTTAGGTCAGAAATAAATGGATTCATAAAAAATGTTTATATATTTTTAGACATAATTATATTTTTTGTGTCAATTCTTAAACATTTTAAGTTGTGTCTCAAAGTGACCCAAATGTAACAAATAAACAAAAAACTTTGGCAGACTGAAAAATGATAAAAATCCCTTTTTTTTGCCAGGTTTGCACTTGGAGGCTAAAAAAAAAAATCCCCCCCCCCCCTTTTCTGTTTGGCATTCAAAGTTGCAAATTCTAAAAAATGCATGAAAACTCTACATGTAATGCAAGTAGCCTATTGCAGTCCCAAAAATGGCAGTCTAAGGGGACAAAAGTGATCATAAAATTTTATGACTTGCCTCCAGTGGTTTAAGCAGGTAGTCCTTATACATGTTAATTCTGGTAAATGCATTTCTGGGCAGATTTTCTGGTATCCACACATTCTGGTCAATAGTATCCTTAGAGAGGTCTTCCTCCTCATCCTGAGTGAATAAAGGAAACCAATGTATTATACATTCAATTTAAGGTTCAAAAGGCAAGGTTCCCACATTTAGTTTATATAATTGGCTTAGCTTATCTAACTCTAATCTTGCGATATGACATATAGAATGAATATATATGATATGACATATGGGATGAAATGTCTTTAATGGAGAGAAAAGGAGCCTGAATAATCCTCTCTGCTGTTCTTAACACTCTTCTCACGTTGTTCCATTCTGAGGCGCTGCAGCCTCCACACCACACAGTGAGACAGCTGGTCAGAATGCTGTCTTTGCATCCTGGTTTTCTTAAAATATAAGGTGAGTGACTGAGTGGCATTGTATTCAGAAATTAATTATTTCTTTTAGGCAATCTGTTCTGTATGAGGCTCCAAGTCATCTCAGGGATAATTCCTGGTAATTTCTTCTGTAATTTCAAAGATTTTCACGCTAACAGAGAAGGTCCTTTCTATTCTCTCTATCTCCTGGCGATCATATCTAGCATGTGTGCACTGCTGATGCAAATTGCAACTGCCTTTGCAAAATACTGGGGAAACTATACTTATCAAATAAATACATTCACTTAATTTCTCACAGAATTTAGCTTGGCCCTGAAACATTAAGTATTTCAGAGAAACTCAGGCCTTTGGTCTGAAATCCGGAAAAAACAACAGCAAAAACATAAGAACAGAAGGTTAGGCACTAGGAAGTTTGTGTGTAATAACTACCTGCCCCTCATCATCGTCCATAATCTCATTCCTGCTACATACATCCTCTTGCTTCCACTGATCGCTGTTGTATAGCTGCCCACTTTCTGGATTCTGCCTGAGACCTGACAGCCTTTGGATTAGATCCTTGTCTTCACACTATTAAAGGATCAGTGTTTTGCTCTTAAACACATAAGTAACTCAAGGGAGCAATTTGAGACAATATACATTTTCAAACTATATTTTAATGAAACATTGATTACCATGCAAAATACCAATTAAAATATAAAATGGCTACACAACTAAAAAACAACTTTCAACTCTTGGACTTTGACCTTGATGTTAATGATGAAATCGGGCGTTAGCTTGAGGTTTTGGATCAGTTCAATCTGTTGACAGATCTTTAGGGAGTCCTCTGATATAAATGGCAGGCAGCTCAGCACATAGCCTGCAGATAAGAAAGAATTCATCAAAAAATGGCGCAACCCAGAAATAACCTCCCCAACTGCCAATCTCATAAATTCTAGTTACAAACTGTTTAGGCTTTTTGTAATTGAAATATGCAAACAGTATTCTGTGCTTAAAGTAAACTTAACCTTAAATCACAAATGTGGATCATAGTTTACCATAGTGCTCAACATTGGGGGAATTAATCTTATCAAGAATCAGCTGCAAAACCACATCCTCCTGAATAGTTTCCCCTTCAGATAAGATGCTCAACAGCTGAAATGGTTTGAAAAATGCACATAGACAATATATTAATGTTAAGATGAAATGTATATATTTTTTTAACTATAGAGCAAATGTCTCTTACCTCTCTTCCCTCCTTGGTTTTGTTTCTAATATGTGTGTTGATCAGATAATTATCTGAAACAATTTTAAAAGTAGATATTTATCAACTGTCATGCAATAAATATGAAGACAAAATTAACTTACCATCAACGAGGATACAGTTCCACGTTTCTGCAATTTTTTTGGCCAAGGTCGATTTTCCAACACCCTGTTATAAAAGGGATATTGAGAATGGGGTTGAAGGAGGTGGCAATGCTTAGAATTACAAATTTTCCTACTTTTGACTGTTTATGCCCATTTCTATGTAAAGGAAGAGCTCATAATTAGATTAGCAATTCATTATTTAGAAGCTACTCTTTACAAAAGACAATTTCTAGAGTTATTTAGGTTTAAACAAACATTATCATTGGAGAAACTATATGATAATCATAGAGAACTTACTGGTTTTCCAAATATAATGAAGCAGGTGGGTTTAGCAGGAAGACGCTCTCTTCCAAAGTCATCTTCATCTAGATTATCCACAAAAGCCTCCATTTAAGCCTGTTTAAGCAACAAGTATTGTCCAAAGTCCCATAACAGACGAAAACAAAATACTGTTTGGGGTAACTAAGCTGCTGTATGGCGGTTACCATAGAAACCCAAACTCAGATCATAAAAGGGCGTTATACGTTTTTTGCAAACCCTTCTGTAATAACGACTACCATTGGTCCGTTTATATTTCTATACATTTTCCTTTGAATTTAAAAGTTTATTTAGTAAAAACAACAGAAAAGGGCACTAAACCTTTAGTTTTCGCGTTTTCGCGGCTTGAGATTTTTGACTCTGCGGCGCACCGTATCAGCTGATATCGGCTCATGACGTTCACGTGACTAAAATGAGTTCATTTAGCATTTCTCTGTATTCCGGGGCCTATCAGATTTCAATAGATATTAACGTTTAAGGAAATTGATGAAACCCGGAAAACAGTTTTTAACACAAGAAGAAATGAGAATAATAATTAACCGAAACGACTGTTGTTTTTTGCAGTTAGCTTGCTAACTCATTGGTGAGTTATGCTAGTTCGATAGGTTTGTTAATTAGATTGTCAAGAGGAATATAAACGAGTTAGAAGATTTACGAGCATTTTGTAGGTGTTTATTAGATGTTTTGAATATATATGTTTATTTTCACCCTGCAGCTCTTGTATTGCTTCTTCTGTCCTTCGATTTTTTTGAGACCAAAGGACTAAAAATGCCTCAAACTGCGGCTGTCATCAGTGGGATCCAGAGGATGGTTTTGTACGAAACAAGAGCAGTAAGTTAAAATGAACTATAGTAATTCCTCTACATATAACTAAAGGTAATTTCCTGTCAGTTTGGTTAAGAGGAACATCCAGCATTAGTTCCTGCTGCTATTTCTACCCTACTGGTAATACAAGTTTGAATTAAAAGCAATATCAAATCCAATCAAATGTATAACTCTTCTAAGGTCAAAGAAGACAAACAACTTTGCCTTTATTTTGAAAAATTATTCTAAATATGTTTATCTAAAAGGTGCTAGTTAACAACTGCCCTGTCATAGTACTTTGCTCTAGTTTAATACAAATTAATTTAATTTAACTAAAGAGAGGCAAGTAGATTATTTAATTACATCTAGTTATCATTATTATCTTAAGAAGCCTGACCATTGGTATCCAGATGTTGTCTTCAGCATGAGGAGAATAAATCAGTGATGTTCAATGCGTGCTTATTATTTGAGTTAAAAAGAACAACTTTCTTTTAACTGAATTAAACAATTAAACATAGAACAAAGATATACTGGTTTGAGCATCACATTTCCAAAAGAACTCAATAAATTAAGGCAAACTTTGGTCATTTTTAAGTAATCAAAAGTGAAAAGTCAGGATTTTCTCAGCATGCTTTAAAGTTATGATGATGAATAGTCAATTGTTACCCTGATGCAATTTTTTCTACATTTCTCAGCTACGATAAGTACGGTATTATTTTGGTCATTTTCTAAAACTGTATTGTTGAATTGGCCATTAGATGCTAAAACCCATAATTAAGCCTTTCCAGGCAGATGTTGCAGATTTGCAACAGCTAAATGTTGCTTAGCTAATTACTCCACATCCATATTTTAAGAGCGTTTGTTACTCAGAAGTACAACAGAAGGATTTAGTTGTGAATTTGCAACAAACAGTTTCTCTCCAGCTCACCAGGTAGCACTGCTGACTCACTTTCAACATGGCTAAGTCCTTGGTTTCACTGAAACAGATTTTGTAAGCACCAATTTAATGTAATTATCACTACCAATTTCCATTATTTTGAAATCAATACTACATAAGATGAATCATGAATGTGTATAGATATGAAACATACCAATTAGTAGATTTTATCTCCTCTGGGTTTTTCACCAGAGGCATCTCAATTTCAGTGTTGTGGATTCGCAACGTGTTCCCAAACAGGTACCAATGGATGCTACATGCTTTATCTACTAGTTTGCTTATATTTTGAGCAACAGTTTAACAGAAACGCCCTTCTCAAGAGGTTTTGAGATGTCGGTGGAGAAAAAGTTTGAGTTAAAGTTATCTCCAATTTTGTGAGAGAAATTTTTTTTTTCCGAATTTTGTTTTGTTAATTTTTTGGTTGTGACATTCAGATAAAGTTAAAGTTCATATCAGATTCAGTCTTCAGTGTTAATTTACCACTCCAGGCCACTGTTGCAAATCAGCAACATCCCAGAATTCATTGCAAGTGAAGGTCTCTCAAAAAAAAGTCTGAATTGTATAATATTACCCCATATGATAATTTTCTACAAATATCAGATTTTTCCTGCTAGTACAACTTAATTTGAGCCCGAGAGGGTTAAAGCTCATACAAAGTAGTGACTTTTTAAAGTTTTTTTAGATTTCCACTATGATGCTGATGTTTCAGCTTTCAGTATAGTTAACAATACCCATATTGACCTGACACCATAGCACAAATCAAACATGCTTTTATTTCTTATTTTGTGGTGTGAAATGTTAGAGGAGGCCTTGGTCAAGAGGTACTCCTAAAGCAGAGACTGCAACATTAGGTATGAGAACAGCTGACCCTTTTACTATTAACCAGTAGATTACATAAACTTTAAAGAGAAGTGGTGTGTTTCTATCAGCTTGCTAATATAGTAGAGTTTAAATGCAGGCTGATGCATTCCAATATTAGATCATGGCTGATATTGGACCAATAACACTCATTAAACGGCTGCTTTTCTTAAATTGTTATTTACGGTCAATTAAAACATTTGAATTTCAAAAGTCCTTTGTATTTTGGAAAAATCTAAACTTAATTTGTATTTTCTAGGTTAATCCATCTTGGTCAACCAACTCTCCATCCTTTTTTCACTTTTTTTTTTTTTGCAGGTTACACATTTAAAGTCTGATCTATAGGAAAATTACACCTTATCATAAAGTTTTGCATTTAAGTTTAAAAAGACATGATAAGCGGAATTTAGATTTTGAAGAAGGATCGGATTTTGTTATAAAAAATGTTTAGGAACCTAAGGAGGAGAAGGGGCTTGTGATTACACTAGTGTTTACTCAGTAAACACTAGATGGCAGTATAAGTTTATTTTGGGTCATTTCTATCTTGAATATCAGATTTGATCCTTTTAAGTATACTTTGACTGTCACAGCTTTTAAAGTTGACCAACATTTCTTTTTTTTTTGTTAGGTTTAGGTAATTTTGTTTTTTCTTAGAAGAAATTATGATGAGTTGTTATATTTCCAACTTGTTCTACTGGATTTATAAAGCAGATAAATGTTTCCACTATAAGTTATCGTCCCTGACTCTTATCTTAGTGTCATTCTCTTATAATTTAACCCAAGAGTAGAGTTAGTTATCATTATGTTTAAAAAAGATGGCTCTGTAGGGTACTGGGAACAGTGGAACAGGACAGAATGACTCTAATAGTAGCAGCCCATACGAATACATGATGTCCTACTTTTGAAGCTTCTTACTAGGCTTTGAATCTTCGGCCATTTTACCACTGAGTATGAGGACAAAGATGATAACATGACAAGAGGAGACATGGAACTGAAGTTCTGATACAAACCATATTATGGTGTTGCTCTGTTATCAAAACCCCTGACAGACAATAATTAGGCAGGGCTCATGTCATGTGTAATTGAAGGCAGATGTCATGTCTAATTTTTATTGTTGTATACTGTTTGTCTTCAATATATTGCTATACTTTTAGAAGAAGCCTCTCATAACAGTTGTTGTGTTTTCCCCAGAGATATTTTTTAGTTGGCTGCAACCATGCACAGACCAAACACAGAGTCCTTAAGATTGACCGCACAGAACCAAAGGACCTGGTGATTATTGATGATAAGGTAAGCAGCGGCTTTTCACCAAATAACTGTATCTGACAGAATTGTTGGTGTCGCTTGTTTAATGAAAGAAAAACCCACAGGAGTAACTTGAATCTGATAAAAGCAATAATAAATATAATTTCTACAAAGATAAACAAATGAAAGTCAGATATCACTTAGCAACCACGCTTCAACAGAACGAGTAAAAGAAATAAACCGATTCAACATATGATGCCCTTAACTTAATATTTTGTTGGTCAAATTTTGCTCCTCTCAGCAGGTGTTTTTGCCCACTCTTCATGAACTAATGGCTCCAGTGTTTCAGGTCCTTCCAAATATGTTCAATAGGATTTAGGTCAGGTTATAGATTTAGGTTATAGACGTACATTTCAGAACATTGCAATGTTTTCCTCTTAGCTATTCTTGGCTGTTTTTAGCTGTGTGTATTGGTCATTATTCTGTTGCAAGACCCATGATCTGTGACTGAGACCAAGCTTTCTGACACTGGGTAGCACGTTTCTCCTTTTCGCTTGATAGTCTTGAGGTTTTATTCTACTCCGATGAGATTTAAGGCACCCTGTGCCAGATGACGCAAAGCAGTGACAGAACATAACAAAGCTCCTCCATGTTTCACAGTAGGGACAGAGTTCTCTAGTTGATATGCTTCATTTTTCCATCTCTAAACATAGCGGTGATGTGCCTTGACAAAAAGTTCAATTTTTGCCTCATCTGCCTATTTGACATTCTCCCAGAAGCTTTGTTGCTTGCAACATCTAGTTTAGCAAATTCCAGTTTTGCTTTTATAGGATATGTTTTCAAAAATGGTGTCCTCCTTGGTCGTCTACTATTAAGTCTACTTTGGCTCAGATGATGACGGATGTTGCGATCTACCGGTAACTCTGGTGATCATTGATCCTTGAACTTGAAGTTCGTCTTTGATCTCTTCAGAAGTTTTTCTGAAGGGCTCCTTTGTTACCATCTGTATTACCCATCTCTCTTTAATTTATCATAAATTTTCCGCCATCGCCCATATCTAGGGAAGTTGGCTACAGCCCAATGGATCATAAATGTTTGAATAATATCTGCAGACTATAGTCACATGAACATTAGGCTGCTTGGAGATGTTCTAATATAATTTACCTTAACATGCTTGTCTTTAATTTTCTTTCTGAAACCCTGAGACAACTCTCCTTTGCTTCCTCTGGTCCATGTTGAGTGTGGTACACACCATGTCACCAAACAGCACGGTAACTACCTGTAGCCCTAAATATAGGCCCCCTGACTGATTACAAGATTGTACAGACCTTTGACACTAAACAATCGACACAACTTGATTTAATTTGCCCCTTTGGTCACATTATTTTCAGTCTTTTCTAGACCAGTTTCATGAGTTTATTTTTGAAAATAATTGAAACATAAATAAATAAAAAGCAATGTCTGGGGCTTTGGTGGCACAGTGGCTAGCGCACACGACCCATGTGCAGATGCCTTAGTCCACGACGCGGGCGACCCGGGTTCAAATCCAGCCTGTCCTTTCCTGCTTATCTCTCCCCCTCTTTCATACCCCCTTTCTTGTCAGCCTACTGTCCATAAAAAGCAGGCCACTAGTGCCGTAAAAACAAAAAAAATAAAGGAATGTCTGACTTTCATTTGCTAATTTTTAAAGATTTTTTTAATCTATGATTGTTTTTATAAAGTAATTTCCGTGACTATTCTGGGGTTTTCCTTCATTAAACAAGGCGGAATCAATTTTTTTCCCCATGCATGCGTATATTCTTATGTAACACAGCCCTATGTGTCTACAGTGAAATAGTTTAACCACCAAGCCTGTCCCCAATGTAATGTCTGAGCGTACCCCTCTTTTCTTCTCTGCTGATCTCTTCTAGAGTTTATGAGCAGCTTGTTGATTTGGGTTTGATCGTGTTGTTATCGTTTATTACAGATATGATGCGTGTGTGTTTTTATGACACATTCGTGACTAAACATGTATCACGTCATGTGTTCAGTTTTGAATATTTAAACCCTTATTTGTAAGCTTTATTTGTGTTAGTTCTACAACATTAAAAGTATTGAAAAACCTGCAACGAGTCTTAGATTTGGCAGTGGGTATGTGAGTGGTGAGCTTAGAACAAATAGCAAAACCATTTCTGCTTGGTTGATTCTTTTCCTATAATACTTATTTTTTGGAAAGAAGGAAGGACAGTGTCTTTATTTCCCCTTAAACTGCTACATTTCCAAGGAATGTGGGTGGGGCCTATGAAAAATTTACTGCATCCTCTCTGCCAATACCAAACGGCTATTCTGTTGGTAAATTCCTGTTTGATGGTGTTTATTGGATCGGAAGAGGGAAACGTTTCAACAAGCAAGACATACTGGCAAAGCTTATTCATGTAACAAACAGGGGCCTCAATAGCTAGTGAGAGAATCACCTTGCATCATGTCTTTATACTGATGGTCACAGGCTGCTGTGGGGTTGCATTTCTCAACCTGCATTAGTTTTAAGTTGACCAATATGGAAGATCTGGTTACTCTGGCACTAACGGCATACCGAAACGGATCCTCAGGTGTCCAGTGTATCAGAACTTTGACTATGATTATCATATCGGAGTGTTGTCAAAGTATTGACATAGACCAGGGTTTCCGTGGGTCATTAAAAATCATTAAAAGTCATTAGATTATTATTTTTTAAATTAAGGCCTTAATTGGCATTAAAACTCATAAAATTTGATTATTGTGGCATTTAAAATGCTTTTAGAAAAAAAAAGTATGTTTATAAAAACAATTTCATCAGATATATTATATCAGATATAACTGGTTCTGCGTGTTTGCGCAGAACTACTTCCAGTTGATTGTAAAGCCGCATATTTTCGGAAAAGAGGCTCGTGGCGGAGAAAAAGCTAGAGAATGGGAAAAGGCACATTTCAACAAAAGTGGCTGGAAAACAAGGAATTATATATATATATATATATATATATATATATATATATATCTATATCAGAGTTATGGATACTTGTTGATGCATTAAAATTATTTCTAAGAGAATTAAAAGAGCATTAAAAATCGTTAAATTAGAGTTGCTCATTCCTGTCTGAATCCCGATAGACGAGGATGGAATTCTGTCCCAGCCTGTGTAGCCATGGTGCTGCCACGGGTTGCTGAATCTCATTGTAAAATCTCTCATCGAGTTCATCTCCAATTACATGCTTTGTTTTTCACACCATCACACCTGCCCCCTCAAAAGCTGTTACTTTATCAGTACATCCATCATCTTAGAGTTCTGCACATTACCAAGATAGTTGTACCCCACAGTCAAATGTTCTTGGCAGAATCTGGGCTTGCTACCTTCACACGTTCAATGCAGATGTTGATGACATCAACACCAGTCGATAAAGTACATCAAGGACAGGCCTCCTTTCTTCCCTACCGTGCTGGGAGGAGCTATGTGCAGTCTGTTCTTGTTTTCCAGAGAACCATTTTGTTGTGCACGCCTTGACTGCAAGTCTTTAAAATATTTGCTTTCAACATACAGTTGCTTGTCTTAGTGTGAGCAAACATTATTTATGTGCTGTCCTCTGCTGGGGCGCCTGCTTACATAGACCTAATTTGAAAAATGGCAGATTGAATAAAAAATGTATCGTGCAAACATGCAGGTCGGAATGTTCTGATTGGATTCGGCAGGAATGACTTTGTCTTCAAATTGAGAGGGTTGGTTTATGCTGATTGATAATCCTGTTGGGATGCATGTAAAAACAGGATCATGTTATTCGGAATGAGGTAAGTTGACCTAAGTATGCATGTGTGCCCTGCTTTAACTTGACATGTTTCTGCTTTTAAAGTCTAGACCAGGGGTGTCAAACTGGTGCCAGAAAGGGCCAGCCAGGTTTTCTTTCCAACCAAGCAATAGCACACCAGACTTCATTAATCTCATCAAGTCATCATGTTAAGACTAGACTAACTTGATGAGGTCATTGGAGTCTGGTGTGCTGTTGCTTGGTTGAAAAGAAAACCTGCAGCCACACGGCCCTTTCTGGAACCAGTTTGACATCCCTGGTCTAGACGCTATTTTTAGAATATTACGACTGACACGTTTGGATGACACATTTTTAATCCGATTGGCTGTTTTATCCAGATTACTTATGGCTATATAAATCATACAATCCAGTGATTTGTTTGTTTTTGAGTCTGAATACATTTAAATACCATCACCAGATATGGTGCATGTAAGCAAAGAAACCAATAGTTTAACTTTTATTTATTGTGAAGTGTCCCATTGTTTGCCTTGCAAGCAAGATGAATTGTTGCAAGATTTATGAATTCACAAACTCCTGAAAATACCTCTTGCCAAAAGCCAACAGTTGCGTTTGACCTCGATACAGAAATGTTTCGGGCCAGTGAAATGCAGTGACAGGTATGACGTCAACCACAAGCGGAAGGCTGAAGCTAATCTTACATGGCATCTGCTGGAATACCTTCTATTTCGTTTTGAAAAGTGAGTAAAAGAATGCGATTCTTGCCTTTGTTGAAGGAAAGATGGTTGCGACTGCCTCGTGACTGGATTTGTTCAGAGTATGTGAAACGTCTCAGCTGCTACTGCTGCTTTGATTGGCTAAAAACTCAACATGGGTGGAAGACAACCAATCAGCTTGAAGAATTTTGCTGAATGTCCCTGCCTTTTGAGAACACTTTCTACATGGTGCTTCCTAGAACTTTGAATTCTACTCGATATCAAGCTATGAGATTATCCCATTGTGGTGTACATTATATCTAGCAGATAATTGCTTACATTTGATGAGACAATTTTGCTCTAAAAAAGAATACTTCAATTCAGCATCAAAATAGGCCAGCAACATTGACATTATTGTAACTTGAGTTATTGTGAGCTTTAACCATTTTGAGTGTATGTTTTGGTGCCTGGATGTTTGTTTGTGTGTGTGTTTGTGTTGGGCTAACTATGTGTTAGGGATGGAACGGTTTATGAAAACCGTCTGACGGTTCGACTGTCTCAGTTTGATTCACGTGTGTTTCGTTCGGTTCATGCGCTGCTCCTTTTTCTCATAGGCGAAGCGTTTACACTCCAGAGCAGAAGGTGGCGGTACTGCGACCAAAGCCAACCACCAGTAGTAAACAAGAAGAAGAAGAAGTGAAGCAGCGTAGCCGGGTGTAGCAGAAAAAAATCAGTTGTTGTGGAGAATTGTGTGGGTATGGCGAGTGGGAAAGAGCAGGAGTTGGAAGACGCGCCAGTAGCGCTTTATAGATCTGCTGTATGGGACCACTTTGCATTTAGAGTGACCTACGATGACGGCAGAAAGAAAGTTGGGGATAAAAACATTGTGCAAGCATTGTGCAACACGTTTTGTTTATGCTAACAGCAACACGACCAACATTTGGCTAACAATCAACATATACCGAACCGAAAACTGTGACCACGAAACCGTGAACCGAACCGAACCGTGAATTTTGTGAATCGTTCCACCCCTACTATGTGTATAAGCTATGTCTATAAATAAACGTGTTTATTTTGACTGTATGTATGTGATTGATTGCGACTTTGTCACCTGGTGAACTGTGGCGAGAATGAACGAAAGCCCACAATCCACAGTACTTACTGTAAGTGCAGCAAAGGCTGATATACCCAGCTCTGAAAGGCTGCAACAGTCCATGGGTCAGAGCAGTGTCAGTAACCAAATGCTGTCTGGTATTATGGGGCGACAGTGGCGTTGGATGTGGGAGCTTGCCCTGAAATCGAAGGGTTGACGGTTCAAGCCCCGACTCCGACTTTCATTGTCGTTGTGTCCTTGGGCAAGACACTTCACCTGCATTGTCTACTGATGGTGGTCAGAGGGCCCGGTGGCGCCAGTGTACGGCAGCCTCGCTTCTGTCAGTGAGCCCCAGGGCAGCTGTGGCTACAATGTAGCTTGCCACCATCAGTGTGTGAGTGTGTGCGTGAATGGGTGAATGAATGTGGTGTAGAGTGCTTTGGTCAAGTCTCCTAACTTGAACCATTATTGATTTCTAAGGGTTGATAGATATAATTTTTTCATGGGTAAACCCATATGCCAACACTGCTACTCGACCCACACTTTCTTTTTTTGGAAAAATGTGACACAATTAACGAGAAAAAAACAGACAAGGTATAAGACCTAGTATTGTTTCAGTAAAGAAAGAATTTGAACCAAATGCAAAATGTCCACTTTTTTGTGTTATGTTCTAAGACTTCTAATGGTGTGACACCCCATCTAACAGAATGAATATGTCACCAACGGGATTTTTCTCTGAGCAGTTTTAAAAATATGATTTTATACATTCTAAGAAACAGTTTTTTTTTTTTTTTTTTTTTTTATAAACTAAACTAATTAAATAGAAATAGTGATTGTAACAATGTATTAATTGAGTTTCACCTTTTTACCTGTATTTTTCCTTTGTCTATAGCATGTGTATAATCAGCAAGAGGTGCGGGAGCTACTGGGCCGCCTTGACCTGGGCAACCGCACCAAAATGGGCCAGAAGGGCTCCTCTGGTTTATCTAGGGCTGTCTCAGCCTTCGGCATTGTAGGTGAGTAAAGTTTGCCTGCTTGCCCCCTCGGTGGCACAGCTCTGACTATTACCATGCTAAATGATGTAAACAAGCAACTAATATTCTAAAACAGAAACTGTGTTGGGTGACCTGGTTTGGCTTTAATATAAAGGGAATTGAAATGGTATATAAGAAAATAAATAAAAACACCTGACTGTGCGTTGCTATGCCAAAATATACTGTTTGGACAATATGTGCTCCTTAAAACAGTTTTGTTTTTCAATACACATTCTTGATATAAAGAGAAAAACATTTTGAAAAATTGCTTTACTCTAATTTCTGTGATTAATTCATTTTTTTCCCCGATAATGGACGGCTTGTTGGTTAGCTTTGCAGGATCCTGGCCAAGTCCTGGCTGGTGCCAGCATTGCATGGAGTTTATCTCAACACATGTAAGGTTTCTATTTGAGATATCCAGGCTTCTATCCGGTCCAAAAGGGTTGACATCAGTTTAATTTGTACCTTACAACTGTGTCACACTGGCACTTTTTTCTCCACTTTTTTTACAAGTAACATTTTCTAAAATGCCTTTTTGATTTACATTAGGATTCTCTGGCAAACTGGATCTTTACTTAATGGTGTATTTTTACTTTTTGTATGATTCATCAACTCATTGAAATTTTACTATTCGCAGTCTGTAAATACATCAGTTAGCACCTCCTGATGATTTTTGACTTTGTAAAAAAAATGACCAAGTTAGGGGCATATGCTTTTAATTATAGGTAAATTCTACAATTCTTATGTGCCATTAATTTTCAAATATATTCAAAACCACTGCTTTTTATAAAAATCACTTTACTTCATCACTCAGAGCTAGTCAATCACCTGCATTAATAAAAAAAAAATGCAACAAATAATTTTGACTCCCTGTATCTCTTTTAGAAATGGAATGAATTAAGTGAATGTGACACGCCAAATTATGTGATGCTGCTGTAAATATTGTATTGATTAATTAGCTTTTCATGTTTCTCAAAAAGCCTATTTTCTCTCTGTCCAGGTTTCATGTTGACCTACTGATCTAATTAGACATTTTTACAATCTTTTTTTTTCTTTTGGTCTTAGACACAGCTCAGTCTTTTTTTGAAGACCATTTACTGCTAACTTGTTTGAAATTCAAAAGATATGAGTGGCTTGTGTAACTCATAGTGTGATTAACACTTTCAGAGTCATTGATATGTGAATTCATTAGTTTGTTGGTGAAGTACATTTGACACCTACAGATTTGGATAAGAGCTTTTTCACATATAATCCGAACCGTAGAGTTGGCCTTATTTTTTACTGCAGTAAGAGCATTTTGTTACTGATTGAAATTGGTTAGAAATCATACAGTTTTAAATTTCAAACCCTTATAACTTGCTGTGCATTTTTTTTTTTTTTTTACAACGTCCATCAAACATAAGTGATAAGATGTTTATTGCCTTTTTGAGGTATTTTGTTCAACTCATTTGGAATTATTTTTTCAATTAGTGTTAAGGCCATGACACAGCAACAGGATTTAATTTCTACCTTTGACTTTGCCACTTGGCAGCCTTCTTTGTTTGTAATTTAAGCCATTTAGAGGTGGAGTTGTGCGCTTTAAGTTGTTGTCGCACTGCATTATCTAAATATGCTTGGAAAAAACTCAGAAACTGATGGAAGAACATTTTATTGAGGGATTTTCTATTCATGGTTTCATTTGCTAAAAAGTTATCTAGATTGTGAAGCATGAAAGCATCGCTGGCCACCACCTTCTTTGATTATAAGTTAAAAACGTTGTTTTAGTTAGTTTTATGTTAAATGTGCAGTTATAAAAAGTCCAACTTTATTCTCACCACTCCAGGAACAATCTTAGGTGTCATCATGATTTTATTAACAGATTATTGACAGGCCATTATGTTCCCTTGGTAGATGTGATTTTGGATTCAAAACTCTCTCAATAAGCTTGTTTTTGTGTAAACAGTTTCCTCTTGTTGTTTTATGAACTGATGTAAAGTAGTAAAACCATCTCATGAGAGATCCTGAATAAGGTGATATTGCACTTTGGTGTAATTTGTGCTTGGCTGACCACACATTGGATTATTCCAAATTGTTCTGTATTTATATAGTTTTTTCATTTGAGAAAAAAGCTCCACTTTGATTAGGTCAACTCCCAAAGCTGTAGAAATGGCTCCTTTCCATCCAGATTAACAGCTATTGATGACTTTACATTCCATCTTTTCTTGAATTACTTTGTATTGGGGTAAAATAGGTACCGGTATTTATTTTTTAGATCCACACATAAGCTCTATTTAAGATATCTTTAAAATGCCAAGATCAAGCAGTAAGAAGACCAGTGTTTCAAATAAAATATATTTGATTTAACACCTAACTATGCTATTGTTTCGCCAACACTTGTACTCTTCCTCTGCCTCTTGTCTATAAGGGCAGGAGTCTTAGCAGAAGAAATCCAGGTTTCACTCTTCCCAGACACTACTGTACCTTCATCCCCTCCAGCCTGATCCCAATGGGACGTGCCTGGAACACCTACCGTGCGAGGTGTACGGCAGACATCCGTAACCGGTGTCTGAGCCGCCTTAACTGAGGTGCAGATACTTCATCCAGTGCTCCTTACCTTGTCTCTTATGAGAGTTTGGTAGCTGATATTTTCTGAATAATTAATTCAAAATTAAATGTAACATAAAAGATCTAAGCTTTTCATTTTGACTAAATTCGTAATTGCAATTTTTTTGATCTTGCTTTTTAACACATGTTAGAGTACCGCCAACTGAGCTTTACCCACTGCAGTTCAATATGGACATCCCAAATTACTGTTGTGCATCATACGCTGTGCACGTCTATTTCCCAGATTTCAGCCAAAGTGGCACACAGCTCTCTGTGCCCATGGGCTTCCCCTCTTTCCTTCCCTCAGCAGCCCTCAAAGGTGTAACCAGTCGGTCTGGGGAGCCCCAACGTCACGTGCCAGGGCCGTATTGGCCGGGTTCCCCGAGCGGGTAGTAGGTGGCCCCCCTCAAAATTTCTTTAGAAATGTTCTAGTATAAACATTTGATAAACATTGATTTTTTTCTTTTTTTCCCCTTATAAATAAAATAACCCATTTTACAAAACATTCAGCAGTCTAATGGCAGCAGGGAAAAAAGCTGTTATGGAATCTGCTGGCCCTGCATTGATTGCTGCAAAGCCTCTTCCCAAAGGGCAGCAGGGAGAACAGTCCATGCTGGGGGTGTGAGGGGTCATTGATGATATGTGCTCGGGACACCCAGTGCTGGAATGAAATGTCTTTAATGGAGGGAAGAGGAGCCCCCATGATCCTCTCTGCTGTTCTCACCACTCTCCTCACTTTCCTCCAGTCTGAGGCACTGCAGCCTCCACACCACACAGTGAGACAGCTGGTCAGAACGCTCTCTATGGTGCCTCTGTACAAGGTGGTGGGGATGGGTTGGGGCAGGTGGGCTCTCGTCATCCTCCACAGGGAGTACATGCGCTTTTGTGCCCTTTGACCAGTGAGGTGGTGTTTCCATTCGAGGTGAGGGTGTCTGTGATGTGCACCCCCAGGAATTTGGTGCTGTTGACCACCTCTACAGCTGAGCTGTTGATGAGCAGTGGAGCGTGGTTAGGCCGGTTCTTCCTGAAGTCCAAGATGATCTCCTTCTTCTCCACATTTAGGATCAGGCTGTTATCTTTGTACCAGTCCACCAGCTGCTCCACCTCCTCTCTGTGGTCCTGGTCGTTGTCTTCCGTGATGAGGCCCACCACCATGGTGTCGTCTGCAAACTTCACCATGTGATTGGTGGTGAACCTGGGGACACAGTCATGTGTCATCAGGGTGAACAGCACGGGGCCCAGGACGCAGCCCATTGGTTCCATTGGTAGGCCAACTGGAACGGGTCGAATGTTGGCGGCAGACTGGAGACGATGTGTTCTTTAAACAGCCTTTCGAAGCTCTTCATCATGATTGGAGTCAGTGCGACAGGCCGGTAATCATTTAGTGAGGTGAATTGAGGCTTCTTTGGGACTGGAATAATGGTGGCAGACTTGAAGCATGCTGGCACTATGGATTGGTCCAGCGAAGTGTTAAAGATGTCTGTGAGGACACCAGCCAGCTGATCTGTAAACTCCTTGAACACCTGCCTTGGTATGTTATCGGGGCCTGGGGCCTTCCTTGGGTTGAATCTCCTCAGAGTTACCTCACTTCAGCTACGTCCAGGTTTAGTGCCTTCTCTCTCCTCTGCCTGCTTTCACTGCTGGTGTGCTGTTTAGTGCCTCAAACCTTGTTTGAAGAAGTTGTTCTGTTCATTTAGGAAGTCAGTGTCAGTGCTGCGTCTAACCGGGGGTGGGGGGTATTATAGTGCATGATCAATGCCTTTCCACATCCACCTGGTGTTGCTGTCATCGTGGTAAAGATCCTGGATCTTCTGGCTGTGGTTCTGCTTTGCTGATCTGATGACACTGTTTAAGTTGGCACACGCTGTTCTCAGTGCCTCTTTATCACCAGACTTGAAAGCTGAGTTCCGTGCTTTTAGCAATTTCCTAACCTCACCATTTATCCAGGGTGGTTGGTTGGCCCGGGTGGTGATGTTTTGTTTGATGCTGACGTCCTCAATGCATTTGTAAATGTAGGCTGACAGTCATGGCATACTCATCAATATTCAATAAGTTGTCATATGTTGCTGCAGCCTGGAAGCAACCAGCCTTCAGTCTTGTGTCTCCATGGCGCCCTCAGACCACACTCGGACCTCTTTAACTGTCGATTTAGCCTTAATCGATTTAGGGGGGGGGAGATGACCCCCATCAAAATTTCTTTAGAAATTTTCTAGTTAATTATATTATCTATTATCTTTTTAATATGTAACTTAGGGCTGAAACAATTAATCGGATTCATCTTGATTACTCGATTATTAAAATAATCATTGATTGGTAATTGATTAATCATTAAATGGAGTGTAAAGACTCTAAAACATGCCTTCAGATGACAGAGCAACCCCATTAGAGCAGTCATTATTCCAAGATTGTAAAAAATATATATACATTATATATATGCATTATGCATTTAAGATGAAAAAATAAGCATTTTCGTCTGTCGGAATACTCTTTCCAGAACTTCTCAAGTGGAAATGTTTTAGTTTAACCTTTTTTTAATTGTGTAAAAAAATCTTCTTTTAAGAACTTTTTGGCTGTCTGATTATTAATTGATTATTACAAAAATAATCCCAACATTAATTGAATTTGCAAAATAATCATTAGTTGCTGGCCAAATGTAGTTTTATGATTGCCTTAAATTTCATGTTTTAATGGTTGCACTTAGGCACTGCGTTTGCCATAAGATGTGTTTTGTCTTAGTATGCAGTATTTTCTTTTTAAACGAGAATATAATTTATTTTAAGCTCATCTTAAATGAAATTAGACTGAAATTGCTTGGATGCTGTTAAGATTTTGCCCCCATTTTTAAAAGAATATACTGCTACTAATAAACCTCTTTGTTATGTTTCACTCCACCATCATTTTAGAACATCAGATCTAATGGTCACATTGATATCAACGTGTTCTGTTTTTTTTTTACCTCTGGTTAGACAGTCTATGTTCTTATTTTCCATTTCCGTGCATGAAGCATTATTTAGTCCCGTAATGATATTAGTGATGCACCCATGTGGGTGACAGTGTTTCCTAAGGGTCTTTGACTCTTATTACAGTATTTGTTAGACATCATCATTCCAAGTATATTTTTATTCAATGTCATACGCTTGTTTTGTCATTCTGACCCAGTCTCCTGGTAACAAAACACAGCACTTTAAAAGAAATCGAGTTCTGCATTAAATAATAACCTATTCAGAAACATTGGAGATTATCAGCTCATCTTAACAAAATGACTTGCATTAAGCTAATGAATTTTTTTCTTGGTTAATATTAGAATACCATGAAAAAAAAAGTCTTGAATGTCTTACAGAAGACCTGTATATAATTATATTATTAACCTTCAACAGGTGACTAATCCCTTTATTTTTATTGTTTGGGTTTTTATGTCCCTTCTAAAAATAACTTAGAAACATCTTATGCTTGAACTGTTATGAATGAGAAAATAGGTGAGCCATAGTTAAAAGAAAATAATTAACCTGGTTGCAGGATCTTGCCTTGGACAGATTCGAGTTATAAAAGCATGAATGCAGCGATAGGTCATATATAAACTAAAGAAGTGAGTAAGAAACTCACTATAATCCCTACTAAAAGGGATTTTGAATGGAAATGATTAACTTTTAATTATCATGTACAAAGTGCACTGAGCTTTAGATTACTTTCACACAAATTTAGCATTATACAGTACCTTACAAATGTATTCAATCAGTTAAACTATTTTTTTTTATCAATACTCCTGCAAGCTTTGATTGGATGCAAGGGATAAACAAACATAAAGAAGGGTATAAATGTACTAGTTAAAGAAGATGTGCATTTTTTTATTTTTATTTTTTACACATGATCAGTAATTTTTGATATACATGGGTATTCAAACCCTTTACTCTGATAGCTGATCAAATAGTCTTTAGAAGGTACCTAATTTGTAAAAGTACAGATGTTTTTCAAACATCTAGTGTTTCTGATAGGCCAGAGATGAGGTTGTGGCTTAGTTTAAAGTAGGGTTTATATTCTAAAACAATATCTCATTATTCAAACACCTCCAAACTGAGTGTTAGTTTAGATACCTGGAAAGAAGCTCATGATAACTTTGGAGGAGTTGCAGAGATCTGCTGCTTTGTGGATCCTCATAATTTATTTTTGCCACAGGCCTTGAAGGTCAAAACAGAAAACATTTTTATGAACTTGCATCGGTCAGGAGCGACCTAAATATCTATTTGGCCTAAAAGTAAAACACTATCTTTATTCTCACCATTGCGCTTTAGCATCGTGGTCCGTTATCCTGTCAGTTGTCGAAATGATGCTGTGATTAGATTATTATGGCATCTGTAAAGCTTCATAATGGTACACTATATTGCCAAAAGTATTTGCTCACCCATCCAAATTATTGGAATCAGGTGTTCCAATCACTTCCATGGCCACAGGTGTATAAATTCAAGCACCTAGGCATGCAGACCGTTTTTACAAACATTTGTGAAAGAATGGGTCGCTCTCAGGAGCTCAGTGAATTCCAGCGTGGAACTGTGATAGGATGCCACCTGTGCAACAAATCCAGTCGTGAAATTTCCTCGCTCCTAAATATTCCACAGTCAACTGTCAGCTGTATTATAAGAAAATGGAAGTGTTTGGGAACGACAGCAACTCAGCCACGAAGTGGTAGGCCACGTAAACTGACGGAGCGGGGTCAGCGGATGCTGACGCGCATAGTGCGAAGAGGTCGCCAACTTTCTGCAGAGTCAATCACTACAGACCTCCAAACTTCATGTGGCCTTCAGATTAGCTCAAGAACAGTGCGCAGAGAGCTTCATGGAATGGGTTTCCATGGTCGAGCAGCTGCATCCAAGCCATACATCACCAAGTGCAATGCAAAGCGTCGGATGCGGTGGTGTAAAGCACGCCGCCACTGGACTCTAGAGCAGTGGAGACGCGTTCTCTGGAGTGACGAATCGCGCTTCTCCATCTGGCAATCTGATGGACGGGTCTGGGTTTGGCGGTTGCCAGGAGAACGGTACTTGTCTGACTGCATTGTGCCAAGTGTAAAGTTTGTTTGAGGGGGGATTATGGTGTGGGGTTGTTTTTCAGGAGCTGGGCTTGGCCCCTTAGTTCCAGTGAAAGGAACTCTGAATGCTTCAGCATACCAAGACATTTTGGACAATTCCATGCTCCCAACTTTGTGGGAACAGTTTGGAGCTGGCCCCTTCCTCTTCCAACATGACTGTGCACCAGTGCACAAAGCAAGGTCCATAAAGACATGGATGACAGAGTCTGGTGTGGATGAACTTGACTGGCCTGCACAGAGTCCTGACCTCAACCCGATAGAACACCTTTGGGATGAATTAGAGCGGAGACTGAGAGCCAGGCCTTCTCGTCCAACATCAGTGTGCGACCTCACAAATGCGCTTCTGGAAGAATGGTCAAAAATTCCCATAAACACACTCCTAAACCTTGTGGACAGCCTTCCCAGAAGAGTTGAAGCTGTTCTAGCTGCAAAGGGTGGACCGACGTCATATTGAACCCTATGGATTAGGAACGGGATGTCACTTAAGCTCATATGTGAGTCAAGGCAGGTGAGCAAATACTTTTGGCAATATAGTGTATTTAAGAACATATTTACATGTTTATTTGCAAAAATATGTAAGAAACCTTTTTTTAAATACAAAAGAAGTTGTGTCGATGCAGAAAAAAAGTGGTTCACAATTGGGCTATATGCAAATGTACACCAAACCACTCATAATTATACAGTTATGCTTCACTTTGCTAGTTGCAATCGATTTTAATTATCTGCTCTGATGTTTGTGGCTGATCTGTGAATAAATTGTTGGTTTGTTAAAAAAAGTTTGTTAAAAGGGTTCCTCAATTCTGTTTTTTTTTTCTTTTTTTTTTGTAGGGTTTGTGCGTTTCCTGGAGGGGTATTACATTGTCTTGATCACCAAGCGCAGAAAGATGGCTGACATCGGCGGCCACTCCATTTACAAAATTGAGGACACCACCATGATCTACATCCCCAATGACTCAGTCAGAGTCTCACATCCTGATGAAGCAAGGTGTTGTCTCAGAAAATCACCTTCCCACTTTTTACTTTTTGTTATGCAAATAAAAAAAAACTTCTTTTAGTAAAGGAGCGTTCTAATCAAGAATTTTATCATCATCCAGCTCAGAATTCACACATCATACTAAGACAGAAATGTAGGATTAGCATCCTTAGATCACCCTCTTCAAATGTATAGAACACACTCAGAAGAAAAAACAAAAATAAACACCCTTATAGAAGACACACTCAACAAAAGTATACATGGTTTTATGTATACTTTTGGTTTTGCTCCCATTTTTTTTATAAAATTAACTCAAAGATCTAAAACATTTTCCACAACACAATATAACCATTTCCCTCAAACATTGTTGACAAAACAGTCTAAATCTGTGATAGTGAGCACTTCTCCTTTGCTGAGATAATCCATCCCACCTCACAGGTGTGCCATATCAAGACGCTGATTAGATACCAGGTGTGCCTTAGGCTACGTTCACACTGCAGGCCTTGATGCTAAATTCTGATTTTTTTGTGAAAACCGTTTTTTTTTGCGTTCCCGTTCATATTTCCAAATATATGCGACTTGTATGTGATCTACTGTGTGAACTGCAGTCATACAACGCAAGTGTCCCGCATGCGCAGTAGAGGACGTAATGACGTCACAGGCCAGTGTGCTCTGTGTTTACGGAAGTAAACATGGATGTTAGTGCCGGCTCTCATCTAGCGATCTTTTCCAACTATAAAAACTCTTATCTTTTCATTATGGTTAAACATAAATAGTGCTCCCTGCATCATCATCTGCCATGGTTGTTGTTTTTCTTGCCGCTATTGCGTAGCAAGACGCAGAATAGTGTCCTTTGTCGGGTATTAATGGCGTTCAGGTCGGATGAATCCGACCTGGCCGTTCACACACAGGTCGCATTTGAAAAGATCAGATTCATATCGGATTCAGGACCACATAGCCAAGCGGCCTGGGTCAGATTGGAAAAAATCAGATCTGTGTTGTTCAGACTGTCATGAAAAGATAAGATCCAGGTCGCATATGGGCAAAAAAATTGGATTTGGGTCACTTCAGGCTGCAGTGTGAACGTAGCATTAGACTGCCCACAATAAAAGGCCACTTTGAAAGGTGCAGTTTTATCACACAGCACAATGCCGCAGGTGTCGCAAGATTTGAGGGGGCTTGCAATTGGCATGCGGACTGCAGGAATGTCAAACAGAGCTTTTGGTCGTGTATTGAGGGTAGTCTGTTATGGCTTGTGGATCGTGCTCCACTTCTATTCAATGGCTCTGTAAAGCTGCTGGATATATCTGCATATATGACTTTGTCCTATATGCAGATGCTCTGGATCGGTTTATGGGAGCAAAACCAAAAGTGTTACATTAATATTTTTGCTGAGTGTGTAACACATCCCTGGAAAAAACTGTATGTACATTAAATAAAGCCTCTAACATTAACATAAAATACTGCTTGTGCCAGAGCAATCTATGAAATGGACTGGTGGTCCATTTGTCATCATGAGTTGTTTTTGTGTATATGTGTGAAGGTGTGGTGTGGATGTCTTTTTGTTTTTTTTCTAATTAGTTTTATACAGAGATGTTTCTTAGAAATGCAACAAGGGGTTTTAAATTGGGAGCTTAACCCTCAGGTTAAGCCAAGCGTACCTTTCTACAAAGGTAAACTATGATTCACTTCTAAATTTGTGTTTCCTCCTGAATGGTGATTTAATTTAATTATCCCAAATTCATTGAGATGCTTTGCAAAATTATAGATAACATTTGACCAATTAGGCTGCTTGTGGTATTTCCTCACATTGAATGCTGTCCATTTCTTTTTCCTTCACATTCTGTCTGCATTTCAGTTCATTCACACCAACAGATGGTGTCATAAGTAACATTAAAATCCGGTTTCACTCTTAATTAATAGTCTCGGCGTCAGATTAGTACTATCATTATACATTTGGTGCAAAGAAAACAAGTCCTTTTGTGGTTAAAAAATTGTTTGGATGTAATACAACACCTTCCACTGAGTGCTTGCAGATCTATGAATATGCGTATTTGTCCACATCATCCTGTTACCACTGAATGAAGCTGTTTTGTCGATGCGTGGCATTTAGTTGTGTTGTTTTTTAAGTAGGAGAAACACTTGTGTTCAATTGGCAAATTGGAAGCAGAAAGATTGCTATTTCTAGGGCGCTCAGCTAACAAGAGAAAAGGTGAAATACTTGGAGAACAATTTAGACTTGGTTGACTTGCGAAAAATACTCTGGAAATTAAGAAAAGTTGATATTGGCTTCAGTTTTGCACCTTCTATTTTGTTGAATTAATTTTGCTAATGAAGAAAGTGACAGCATAAGCTTTTTCAGAATTTATTATAATCTTTTTGCTGATACATCTATAACCACCAGGTGTGGGACTAGGACGTTATTAAGGAACATGTTACAGTAACTATGTTAATCTTGCAAAAACAAGCACTGTAACTAATTAGTTTGTAAAAGTCATTAACGTGTTGGTCTTTACTACGCTTTAAACAGATTTGATATTCGTTAATTATTGTGAAAAAATTAGGACTACAGTTTCCTAGTGTAAGTGCATGCATCAGCCACGTGCAACTTTAGAATGTTTTGAACACAGAGGAAAGTTGATGGTGCAAAGCTACGGAATCAATGACAGCGTTCCTACAGAAAAAGCACTCAATGAAGGCTAAATGTTTCTGGGATTTGCTCATTGTTTGCAGGAACAAAAACTTTATAAACGTCTGTTAGAAGATGTGATTTAAATAAGCTCCTCACTTCATTTAACACTGAATGACAGCTACTGCCTTTACTCGACACACAGGTTTTACTTTCTCAGTGCTCTTACAGCCCTGCTAGGGTTTTTTTTTTTTATGGAAAGTTGTATCTTTTGTTTAATTCTATTGTGAAGTAAATTGTATTTTTGTTAAACCGCTTAAAAAGTATTATTTTCCAGCTCCATATCTAATTTATAGTCAATTGAAGGCTGTAATTGTGCAAAGTTGAAACATATTTTATTGATCTATTATAAAGACAAAACATCATCACATCTACATCACTATATTGCAACTCACTTGATAAATCAGAAATACTAAAATAGTGCAGATTGATATTCATTGTTATCAGGTATTTAGTTCTTTTAATTAATTATTTCATTTATTAATCAATAAAAAACACCTTATATTCCATAATCGAACCTCTTGTTGTATTTTAAGTTTTAAAAACGGGAATGTTTTCCTAAATTCTTTGACATTTTATATCATAAAAAGTTAATCTGACTTGTGACTAGTTAATTAAATTTTTTCATTATTTTAAGGAACTGCCAAACACTTAGAACCACAGACCCCAACAAGCACAATTAAAGGTAGAACTTTACATTTTCATTTAAGTTAAATACAGCATCTAAACGTTGCGTGATAATTACAAGTCAGCCATATCTTCCAGTATACATTTATATTTATTGATATTTAGATGAAATCTACGGAGCCCCTCTGATGACATGGTCAAAAAAATGTTTTAATCGTGGCCACGCAATAAGTATTTTGTGCGCACAAAACACTATTTCGTGGCCACGCAATAAGTTTAACGTGCGCACGAAATACTTATTAATAATATTTATATCATTCCTGGACAACTGGGTAAGCAAATCAACCTTAGAGAAGGCATGCGCACGTTAAACTTATTGCGTGGCCACGAAGTAGCATTTCGTGCGCACGAAATACTACTTCGTGGCCACAATTAAAAATTTGTTTTGACCATGTCATCAGTGGGGCTCCGTAGAAATCAGCCAGTTAAAACAGTTAAATAATGGAAAATGTACAACACTAACTTCAATATGTTTGGGCGATTTGCCAACAATTACCAAGAGGTTATTCTTAACATGGTAAATGATTGTTAATAGAATTGTTTTCGGTCAGTGATAATTAATACTGTATAATTATTGCCTATTTCCTGTAGCAATATCAAATAATCACCTGTTTAAAATTACTATGTATCCCCGTTAAACTATTGTATGTCTAACTTGCGTTTCAATGGGCTAAACACATGCCTAGGTTTTAATAAATAATCCTCCAGTCTTGATTTAACCAACAACTAAATGAAAGTTTGTCACCATTTTTTTGCACTTTGTGTATATTGTATCCACTTTTAAGAATTTGTATAAGCTACTGTGGTTATGACCCACCTGATGACATATATTCTATTCTGAAAAACAACATAGTTCAGACTAACAGTTAACAGATTCACTCACCTCAGCATGCCAAACATCTGAGAGACATAAGCTTCTAATACACTTCATAATTACACAGACCTGCAGAAAGGTTCTAGATTTAAATTTACCTTCCAAATTTATAAATAAGTACTGTAGCTAATCTTTTATATATATATATATATATGTATATATATATATATATATATATATATATATATATATATATATATATATATATATATATATATATATATATATATATATAATCATAAAAGCTGAATTAATGAGTGACTCTTTTTTCATGTTAAAGATACGTGAGGATCTTTCAGAATGTGGACCTTTCCAGCAACTTCTACTTCAGGTGAGACAAAACCGGTCAGAATTATTTGCTTTAAACTTTTTCTTTAGTTTATGAGACCTGATGGCGATACATTTGTATTTTTTTAATCTTGATTTTAACATTTTAAGTGTAGTTTTAATTTACATGAAATGAAAGAATATTTCTGAATGAATTGAGTAATTATGTAAGTTCCTTCATTTTTGCCCAAGCTGCTTGTTGGTGAAAATGTAGCAATAAAAAAAGTAGCTGAAATTTATTTTATTATGTTTTAACAAAATTCAAAGCAATGATTTTAGACAGTCTTTTCTATTTAGATGCTTGTTTTGTAATTTTGCCAAAGGTCTCAATTTTACTTGATTTCATTGAGCTGACAACTCCGTCCTACCTGGTGTGAACTGTGCTTGATATTTCTTATTGTTGAAATCTCCGTTTCTTTAGCCGTACAAATGGGTGAGGGTGAATTACAGAGAGCAGTACAGCCTGTTCTTGCTTCACATGACATTGCCTTTGTACCCTGCAGCTACAGCTACGACCTGAGCCACTCTTTGCAGTACAACCTGACATTGCTGCAGAGACCTTATGAACTGTGGTCGGCAGCAGCTCCCTCCTCCACGGAGGAGGTGCATGCACAGGGCAAGCAGGACAGCTTTGACATCTTTGAGGATGAAGGTCTGCCTACACAAGGTGAGCAGAGGTGAATCCTCTTGCTTAATGCCTTGCCCTAAGTATGCTTGGGCAGCCATTTTTATGTCTTTAGTGAAGGTCATGATACATACAAGGTAAGGAAACTAGAATGAACTAACCTAGACTGCTTAAAGAATAATTGGGTAGAAGAGAGGCTGGAAAGAAGGGAGGGTTTGTACTTTCAAAAGGCTAACGAAACAAAGCATACTTCAGCTGCAATACAAAAAGGAAACATGCACAATCTCAAAATAATTTGGTTAAAAAAAAATATTTTCTCTTTACAAGAAAATACAGTTGGAAAAAATAAGTTTTAATAAAAGAAATGTTAACTCAGAGTTTGGGCTCCATTTTTAAGAATGATTGAACTAATTATTTTTTAAGCAACCAGAACAGCTCTGTACATTTCTGGCACATTATCAAAAACACGTGTCATTTTAGTTTAGATTTACCTTTCCCAGGAAAATGCATGTTAAATGCATAAAAATGATTCTCTCCACATTCAGCCTGTAAATGCATTAACCAGTAACATGTAGGGTTACTCTCTGGCATGTTTTTGAGTTTAATTCAAATCAGATAAAATGTAGGGACAGATGCTATAATGAATAAATGTAGATATTCTGGTAATCTGTTTAAATTGTGGAAGTATTATTAAGTTTTATTATCATGTACATATTATATTTCTTTATATTTCCTTGAAGGAAGGCCAAATATTTAAAAGATACAGAGTTGTTCATTTTCAGCCTAATCAGTACATCTTAGGCTGCTTTTGGAGGGCACAGCTTTCGGATATGTGGAATATTTTCATGTGAACCTGTTTGTGAATGATTCTGTTTTAGAAAACCAGAAAACATTTGGACAGATTTAGTTACCATATTGAAGTAATTTTTGTTTTTCTTCAGTTAAAGCTTTTAATTCTGTCATTTTACAATGTTGTTTTGATTTGTTGCATTTTTAAGCTTAGTGTGTTGTTGATTATTCTGGTACATCAGCAGAAAAGTTCTTAAAAACAATATACCAATATATTGCAACATACAAGTATTTAATACTTTTCCATCATTTTTTTAAATACAATGCATGGTTAATGATTTTTTATTTTATTTTAAATAAAATAAAATTATCCAGCTGATACCAGTAATTTGGACTTCATCCAGGTTAGTAAAATGACCTGCTGGTTTTATTTGCTGTCTGATTTTCCTCCTCAGTGGTTTACGGCCTCCAAAATGAGCCGTATTACAAGTATGTTTGGAACGGAAAGCTCCTTGAGAGGGTCAAGGACATTGTGCATCCTGACTGGCTTATGTACATAATCCATGGCTTCTGTGGTCAGTCCAGTATCCTTTTAAAACTTTGATTTAGTTCTATTTGAAAAAGTTGTTTCTTCCTTTACCTGGAAATATATTGTGCTGTTTCTACCACTATTGAAATAAACGTAAAAGTGTATGACTGATAAAAAATTAAAAAAAAAGTCTGAGGATTGGATTGGAGAATATATGTGATGACTCCTGCTTTAAGTGAGCCCACATACCCAACCAACACAGCTTCATTCATCTTTTGTTACCATTTCTCTCTTTGTTGAGTTGCCTTCATCATAACACGTGGATTGCACTGAGCAGCAGCAAGGGAGGCAAAGCAAAATCAACCAGATCTGCTAACAAAACGAGAAACGAATCAAAATGAATAAAATGTTGTGCCCTCCAGCACCAATTTTCAGGTGTATAGACACAGGAGATTACATAATCTCTCTATTTTGTTGCCTGCTAGGAGCAAGTTAATTGTTCTTATTTTGTTGTGCCTTTTGGATTAGGTTAAAGTGTGTTTCAATAAGCCTAAGGTTTATTACATTTATATCGAGTCTTTCTGGATCTTTTGTATAAAAACTCCAAATGCCAGTCACTGTATTGGTTCCACATGAATAATTTTCCTCTGGACTTGTGAACAGCTTGTGTTATAATTATTCATGAGTTACTGCTACAAAGCTCAGACACTGATTGATTCAGGTAAAAGTTTGCTTCAGGCTCAGATTAAAATTTGAAGTCATTCACAATCATATCAAGAAGAGTGAAATGTTAGCTTTTGCTAAAATATATATATATATACAAGTACACTTAGTTAATTTGTCCTTTACTCATTGCTGATCTGTTTTTTTGTGCGTTTGTGTGTGTATCTTTTTCACACGTGAGTTTGTCCTGTCACACTGACAGTGTGTGGGCGAGTTTAGATGATTCCCGGAAACTGCCTGGCCTTTGCTGGATACCTAGCATGACCATGAGAGAGCCAGATGGTGCACTATAGAGGATATCAATTGAGCATATATCTAAAGGTTGAATGAAATTTATGTACTGATAAAGTAATGTAACAGACAACACCCCTTGAACGTCTTGATGGAGCGCATATAGTCTTTCACATCCCTCCTCTGTTGGTACATTATTAGTAAACCACTTCTACACCCTAAGAAGTTCCTTTTCAGATTAATATTATTTCTATAACTACAAGACATACAGTGCGGAAACATTATTAAAATCAGTGTCTTTATGACAGTGTTGTTTCTGTTATATATTTTAAATGTAATTCTGAAATTATCACATACATTCCTTACACACAGATTGGTTTAAGTTATGTTTTTATTTTTTGTTAAAAATATGTTTATGGAGTACAGTTAATGAAAAAATATACATATAAAAAGGGCTTTGGGGCTCCTTTTAAATGAATAAGTGTGTTTTGACATCAAAGTTATACATTTTTGGCTCTTCTAAGGTGTTTTAATAGTGACATTTTGCATTGTTGGCTGATTCTATTTAACGCATTATCTATGATGGGGTAAGTCAGGACAGATTGCTGGCCAGTCAATTCCAAATGTATCTCAATTTTTGCCTATTTATTTTAATTGTAATTATTAATTAATTTATTTATTTACCTATTTATTTGTTATTTTTTATTTTTTTTTTATTTTTTTATTTTTTTTCTCTTCCTCGGTGGGGGGGAGCGGTTGCGGGCGGGTCTGTGTCTGGTGTCCGCTGTCGCATTGTGGGGGCCCCTTTTTTTTTTTTTTTTTTTTTTTTTTTTTTTTCTTCTCTTTTTTTCTTTGGGGGGTTTGGCATGTCTGTTTTCTCGGGGGGCAGGCGGGCCTGCTGGGTGGGGGTCCTGCTGGCGGCGCGCCGCTGGTGTGTGGGGGTCCGGGCGGCTCCGGCGGGGGTAGTGTTGGGGGGCCGGTCTGGGCGGGCTGGCTGCGCTGGCTGGGTATTCGGGTGGGTTTTCCCTCCTGGAGGCATGGCGGGGCTGCTCTGTTCCCACTGATCGCGGCGGGTGGGGCTGCGGGGCGGGTGTGGGCCTGGGGTGGCTATGACCGGCGCGTGGTGGGGGGCCGGGGCGGCGGAGCTGCTCTGGCCGCGTGTCGGGGCCTGGTGCGGGCTGCGGGGGGGGGTGGCGGACGTGGCTGGGCTGCTTTGGCATCGTCCGGTGGGGGGGCGGCGCGGTTCGCTCCGCTCTGGCTTTGTGCTGCCCCTCGGGCTGCTGGGGGGGGTGGTTGCGCCGGCTGCGGTCTGCTCCTCTTGCGGTTTTGCGCCGGGCGGCTTTTCTGCTCTCGGGCTGATTCTGTGCGCGGTGTGTTTCGTTGCGCGCTGTTGGCATCGGTCTTGGTGGGGTGGGGCTGCGCTTTTGGCCGGGGGGGCGTTTTGGGGGGGGTCCCGCGGCGCTCGTGGCCGGTTCGCGGCGGATGCGCATGGGCCCCGTCCGGGGGCGGGGCCGTCTTAGTGTTTTCCTGGGTGGTGCGGTCGCGGTGGGTGTTGCGGCCGGTCGCCGGGGCTTGGTGCGTGGGGGCGGGGCGTGTTTCGGTGCTCTGTGGGGCTGGGGCGTTTCGGTCGGCGCCGTGGGGGGGCTGGTGTTCGGCGCCCGGCCCTACTTCGGGGTGGCCGGCTGCCGGCGGGGCCCGCGGACTCGTCCCCGCGGCTCCCCGGGGCGCCGGCATGGCGGTGGCTGGGGGGCTTCCTCGTGGCTGTCTCTCCTCCTGCCTTGGTGGGGTCTGATTTCCGGGGCTGGCCCCGCCTTGGTGCCTTCGCTTCTGGGGTCCCCTTGGGCGCCTGGGGCTTTGGGTCTCCCGGCGCTGGACTCAGTGCTCTGGGGGGTGTGCCTCTCCGGCTCTCCACAACCACTATTGAGCATTTTTTTCTATGGTTAAAACTTTACATGCACAAGTTCACCCTCACAAACAACTACAGGTGCTAGGCTTCAGGTAGTTGGAGATTCACTTCCAAACAGAAACCCCACATTCATATCTTCAGGTAACACAGAGTACATGTCAGACTTAATAATATTACTTTAGTGATAGTTTCAAGGTGTTTGCTTTATTGTATATCTCGTACCATGTTTTTTGGTTGTGCTGTTCTTTTTTTTTTTTTTTTTTTTTTCTCCATCTCATTACAGGTGTTGAAGCAGACTGAAAATGTTTTGTCATTGTCTCCTTCCTATCTCCTCTTTCTTTCATCTTTTGTCCTGTTTTTTTCTTTTTCTTTTTCCTTCTTCTTCTTCTGTTTTTCTGCTCTACTTACATTGCAGTGTCCATATGAACTGTAAAACTCCCTGCATAATTATAATAAAGCAATTTATATACATGAAACAAGTGGAGCGGTATGGCAATTGCGATACCGCTACACTTGTGAAAGTAAAATCTGTTGGGCTCCTTTTGGCATCAAGACAATTATTCTTATTGCCACCTTGCCAGACAGGACACTGTAAAAAAAACAAAAACAAAAAAAAAAAAACAAATGTATCTCAATTTTCAGGCGAGGTGGGTAATGTGTAGACAGTAAACACAGTAAACCAATGCCAGAAATTAAAATGTCTTCCCAAATGGCAGTGAAAAATGTACACAGAGCGTCAGAAAACTAGTCGGTGAAGTTTCTCCAAAAAATATTTCAATGGTTTTTGCGGTTCTTGCGCCATTTAGTAGCTGTCTTTCTTTTGGTGTCATTTCTGGGTAATGAGTAGCAAGACTCTAGCCACACCAAGAACAAATCCATCAAACTGTTGAAATAAGTGCTGGAATCATCATTGGAAATACTCAATTTTCTTGCGTTTGTCTTAACTTTCCATTGATATAGATGGATATAGCACACTTTGAACAGCAAACACATTTGAAACATGTTTTATGTGGCTGTGGTCTTGTAGATTGTAATAATCTATGGGTATTACACAAGACTCATATATTAAATATACCTTTGGTAGGTACTATTCAGGGCTCAAACAACTAATTATATTAGTTGTGTTTAATAGATTATGTTTAATAGATTATTGAAATAATGATCAACTAATTTAGTAATTGATTAATTGTTAATTGGACTGTAGAGACTCTGCAAAGCACCTTGAGCAGCAATTATACCAAAGTTGCAAAAAAGAAAGTAAATATTTTGCATTTAAGATAAAAAAAATTTTTCATCTGTCAATATGCTCTATCCAGAACTGGAAACTACTCAGAACTGCAAAGGTTTTTGTTTTACCTGGTTTAATTTCATATAAAGTGTTTTTTTAAGGAACCTTTCGCTATCTGATTATTAATCAATCAATCAAAGATATAATAAGTTTATTATATCGATTAGCATAATAATCGTTAGTTGCAGCCCTAGTATTATTTCATTTATCTAATTTAATTTAGGCGTTTGCAGGATGTAAGCCAGAATTATTCACAATAACAGAAAAAAATATCCCCTGTACAACAACATCTATGTAATATGAGTTTAACTTTTTGAAGATACACTTGTACATGAAACCACATTTAGGAGAATATTCATGGTTTTACTAATTTATTTTAATATATTTATTGTGACGGTGTGTTCTTTAGCCAATACACTTTCCTCTTCCTATTATCATTACCCTCTTTCTTAACTCACGGACTTCAGAGCTGCTGATCTATGGCCGACCGGTTCACGTCACCCTCATTGCCAGGCGCTCCAGCAAATTCGCCGGGACGCGCTTCTTGAAAAGAGGTGCCAACTGCGAGGTACAGCCGTTACTGCGGCAACAGGGACAATAGACAGTGGAAACAAGCCGAGGGCCATCAGCATGATTGAGATGACTCAGCTTGATCACAGGGGGTTAATTTGATCCATTGCTTCTTCTTCTGCATGCATGAGTATCTGTGTGGGCGTTTTGTGGGAGGAAGAATGAACTTAAGGCACAAATTGTCTTTTTTCAACCTTCTGTTTTGACCACTTTACTAAAAAAGTTTGGTGAATAATATCTCATTGGGGCGATTTGCAGATCAAGTCACGTTTTTGGGCACACGTGAATGAACTGCATGGCTCTTTCAGTAGTGTGATATTCTTTGAAAACTACATTATTTTTAGTTTTTTTTTTTCTATTTGCATATACCACTTGCTATATTTTAAAAGCCAGATTACCGTTTGGTTTGATTTGGATTTTAAGTGTGTTTGATAGATCCTTTACTGAATATCTTATTCAGTTGCTGAGTAATTACTTTTTTTCATATAGGGTCACATAGGCTTTGACAGTTTTTTTTCCCCCTGTAGTATTTAAGTTACACAAAAATAAATATATGGAAATTTGTAAATAAGAGAATAATGTAACATTCAGCATACAATTTCTTTTTGTATTATACTTATTTATCTGTATTGTGAGACAACTTTGAGCTTTTTGTTGCCTTTTTTGTGGGTTTTTGTGTGAATTCATGAAACAAAAAAAAGAAAAATATATTTTTCTAACAAATTGTTGCTTCTTTTGAGGTTTGAATATATGTTTTTGTTTTGACAAAAATAAGCCTTGTTCGATCTTTCCAAAACATATATATTTTTTTACAATTAAAGGGGAAAATTTGTGACCTAAGAAAGACGTTTAACATTAAAGAAGTTTTTTTTTTATATATATATTTAAATTGTTTACATGATTACTGAAAAGGTTCAATTTAGAAGTTGATGTAGTTACAGATGCTGAAATGATAGAAAAAAAAAAAACTGGAGAGACTCCATGATTGAGTTTACAGCCTCATAAATGAAACATTATAAATTGATGAGAGAAAACAAATCTTATTCTGTGTTATTAACATACATGTTTCCCTGTTGGAACTTTCTCCCACTGCAATTTATTAATGGATGCTTCTTACAACCATGTTCATGTTTTAATTAGGTTTTTCTATTTCTTTCCCCAGGGCGACGTAGCTAACGAGGTAGAGACCGAGCAGATTATCAATGACGCCTCAGTTATGTCTTTTACAGCAGGAAGCTACTCCTCCTACGTCCAAGTGCGAGGTTCTGTCCCACTTTACTGGTCTCAGGACATTTCCACCATGATGCCAAAGCCCCCAATAAGATGTAAGACTGCTGCCTCACATCTCATAGACTTTTGTATAGGAATCATTTTTATTATTAAATTGTGCCTACAAAAAAAAAGCACTTTAAAAGCTCTGAATTTTTTAATACTGAAAATATTATTAGGCAGCAGAGAGGCCCAGAACCAAAGACTCCTCAATAAGAATTACATTTTGCATCTAATAACCTGAAGTTACTAGTTTGAAGCATTAAAATGTTGCATTCAAATATCAGTTTGGTTTCTAACTAACACCCTATTTCCTGATGAAGCACAAAGGAGGATCTAGAAGGATTAGGGAAAGTGGCCCCCTCATGGTTTCCATATTTGTATTCTTTCTCTGGTCTCCTTATGAAAGGAATAAAGCTCTGAAACCTTGATCAGAGGGAGGTGATCAGGCGAGACTGATGAAACCGGAGAAGGACAAATTTTACTGTGTGTGTATCAACAGAAACACAGGGATTGGCTTTTTCACAATGCCTGCATGAACAAATAATCCTTTTTTCCTCTGCTATGGCCTTTTTCTATCCTCAGATGACCTTTGGTAGGGTTGTCAAACAGAATAGCCCCTTAAAATCAATCTCGGCTTGCCTCAATGTCCTGGTCCTCCTTTGATCCCAAAACGCAGTCCTTACCTGACTTTTTGAAAATGGACTAATCCTTGCACAGTTTGATTAAAATTTTATACTACTGATAAATATTCAGAATATTTATCCTTAGCTCTGGGTTTCCACATACAGGGACACTCAAAGTTTATTAACTGTCACATTTTTTTCTTTTAACTATTTTATTTATTACTAAAAATTGTGAATTGTTTTTTTTTTATTCATAATACCTCTAGATTACATATAATTAAACCAATTCTAATACAAAAAATTGTTAAATACAGTTTACCTATGTGTGATTTCAATTGATCATTAGATTTTTTCAAAAAAATTGTTCTGCCATTTGTTTGGCTTTTAGGGATTAGAAAAAGCCTATTTTTTTCTGTTGCCTCATTGATCTCCATAAGAAACCCAAAGGAAAAGTACTAATCTTTTTTTTGTTTTGTTTTTATAAATATTACTTTATATCCCAAAGTGGTCATAAACAATCCATGGTCAACCCAGGTGTAATATCACTCTTATGTTATTGCTACTTAATATTTGTTACAGAAATGTAGGTCAGCACCTTTACACACTATATTGATTAATTGTTATTACATAATAACAATGTAGGGTCCATGTACCGAGTTGGGATCATCTGTAATGTTAGCTTGTCTAATAAATGAGGAAGTTCTACCTGATTAATAACAAAGATGAAAAAATATGTTTATGGTGAACAAGTAACTGCATAAAAAGGGGGAGAGCTGGGTAGCGCTGTGCTCTGTAGCTATTTGGGTATACTACTTTGTCAGTCATATTTTGGTATGCTACTTTGTGTCAGCAACAACAGTTTGTTTTCTACGTAAGTAGAATAACTGTTGTTTTCCTTGTTTTTAATCTCTACGCAAGTCATGTTTTAAGATGTTCCATTAATCCTTCCCTGCCTTCAGAAGTATTGAAACTTTTTGTGTCACCCTGTTAAATGTCAGAGCTCAGTCTGTCTTAGAAGGAAGTGGTTTCCTTCAAGACTGAGAATGATTGTTTTCTAATTTCGGCTGCTTTTGATCGCCAATGAAATGTAAAATTATAGCAAATATGGGTAATAATATGTTGAGACTCCAGAAGAGATCTGATTGGGTGCAATACAGTTGACAGCAATGACAGTGTCAACGAGGTGTTGCCATTTCATGATGTCATGAGAAAGAGCCGGGCCCCGAGCAGATCTGGTACCTACACAGGCTGTGACCAAGATCAGACCAAGACCATATAAAGTCTCGATCTTGTCTTGGTCTTGGCCTCTAAAGGTCTTTGCCTAGTCTTGGTCACCTTGGTAACGGTTGGTGTGGTCTGACTACAACACTACTGCAAAGTCTCTATATCTGTGAAAAGCGCTAATGGGACTTTATTGAAGATTTTATTTATTTTATCCTTTATTTTACCAGGTAATACCCATTGAGATTAAAAATCTCTTTTGCAAGGGAGACCTGGCCAAGATAGGCATCAAAATTACATCACATCATTACATACGTACAAAGACACACACATAAAAGCATAATATGCACTTACAATAAAATTTCAATTAAAACATTGACATGTGAGGGAGTCCAACTCAAAACATCTCATTCTCAGCTTAAAAGTATTCAAAGGAACCAATTTACTAAGTTTCAAGTTATTTTGCAGCAAATTCAATTTAAAGGGAGCAGAGTAAGCAAAGGCCTTTTTACCCAGCTCAGTACTGACATGTGGGACAGAAAACAAGACAACAGCCTGAGAACGGAGAGAGTAATGACCAGTACTTTTTTTCATAAGAAGTGAACATAAATAAGACGGAAACGCACCAAGAATAGCCTTATATATAAATATATACCAATGACAAAGCCTCCTAGTAGCCAAGGCAGACCACCCTACACAAGATGGCAGATTATAAGACTTTGAAGTTGATAGCCAAAATGATTCAGTCCTCTTCTGTTGACATTATCATCACATTGACTCTTCAGGATGAGGACCCAAACTATAATGAGGGAAAATGATAGATGAGGTACAATAGAATTGGAATCACTTTTTACTTATTTCTTTATACTTCATCATTATTGATGCTCTTCACATCCAAATGGGAAACACAGTACTGGTAAACATACCATTCAAGTAAGTCAGATAATCTTTAAACATACTGTTTGTGGACTGAAGTACTTTTCATGGCTGGTTAAGCTACTGTGGTAAAAATGAGTTTTAGTTTTCTTTTGCACATCTTTACCAAGGATACCAATGCAGCTGCATGAGATGATGCCTCTGGCAGACCGGTCTTATTTTTCTGTTCACATTTGTAGCATTCTTTTCGTGTCCCTTTATGGCTTTTACAGTTATACCATATAAAAAAGCCTGTTACTTGTGAATTTAGAAGTGTCTTAAGCACAATAAATCTGAGGTTATAACTGGGGTCTATGAAACAACACTGCTTCCATGCTATTTTCTACAGCATGTGTGGAAGATGAAGGCAGGTCAAGTCTTACCAGTTTTTATTGTGAATAGAAGATTGAAAAAGGAAGACATGCAGCAACAACATGAGCCAAGTTTATGCTTAAGTTTGACAGCAATTTTTAGTCATGGTAAAAGTTTTAACCTTAAAATGATAAATGCATAAATTTCAAAATAATGCAGTAAATTAACTCTTCTTATCAAACTGACCCGGTTTTAAAAAGATTTTTCCCTCAGGAACAGAGATGGGAAGTAACGAAGTACAAATACTTTGTTACTGTACTCAAGTAGATTTTTCTGATATTTTTATTTTACTTTACTACTTATTTTTATGGCGACTTTTTACTTCTACTCCTTACATTTTTACACAAATATCTGTATTTTCTACTCCTTACATTTTAAAAAATTGGCTCGTTACTTTAGTTTTGAATCATTTCAATGGAGTTACCGTTATTATTTTTCACGTCATCAATACCAAATTCAATCTAATTGGATGGGAATCTACGTTGCATTTGACGCACCACTACAAGGTGAATCGACAGATTCGGCGGTATTCATTCACGGCAAATCATTGCAGCTTGGTGGCGGTGGCGTTAGCATAGTAGTATGGATGACGAGATGATTGAAAATGAACACAACTGACATCTAGTCCTATTGGCAGACATCCATTTAAAATGTAGGCAACGGCATGAAAAAAGTGGTTTCTACTTTTACTTTTATACTTTTAAGTAAATTTACAAGCCTGTACTTTGTTACTTTTACTTGAGTAAAGAAGTTTAATCAGTACTTCCACTTTTACCAGAGTATTTTTTAACACAAGTATCTGTACTTTTACTCAAGTACGGAAAGTGAGTACTTTTGCCATCTCTGCTCAGGAACCTCTTACCTTTGTGGAAACTTTATTTTCTTGTGGGAGGTTTTTATAAGCAATTGTGATATTGCTTCTGTTTCGGTTCAGGTCTTCCATGATCTCACACTGTTGTAGTCATGGCTAAAAGGGTTTGATGCAGTTTGTTATGATTATTTTTTCTGTGTTTTATCCATAATAGTTATTTAATATTTGTTATGTATAATAAAATGGTAATTTTTATATAACTGAATGATTTTAGGGGCTACCAAATGCTCTGATGACAGTACTGCTGAGATGAGAATTTTATGTCTAAATTAGCGCACCATAAAGACATTAATCTACGTATTTAGAAAAATTTTTGAATTAAAATTTGTACATTTTAAATTCAGTAAATGCTGTTTCATTCTGGTCTGTTTCTTTTTTATTTGTTTTTTCTTTTTTTTTTTACAGTGGACCAAGCAGATCCATATGCTAATATAGCTGCCCTGCATTTTGACCAAATGCTGCAGCGGTTTGGCTCCCCCATCATCATCCTCAACCTGGTTAAGGTAATATGCACTTTAAGAAATGTTCCTCCTACTGTAGGTCAAGATTCACATTTGCAAATGAGACCTGGCCAAGGTGGCAGCTAACAGAATATATTGTGCAAAGAAAATCCCCCTTTAATCCATTAGTGACTGTATGGGAAGCTCTTGAAATCATGGATGGGGTTTTCCATGATCATGATGAATTGTTAGAAAGACTTTACCAAAATCTTTTAAAGCCCTGGGAACATTAAAAAGCAATGATTTAAAGGCAGATGAAAAGTATTTAACAGAGTTTACTGAACACACATAAATAAATAAAAAAAGAAATAGCAGTTTTACTGTCTATGAATGATTAATGATGTCCATACAATAAAAACATTGAACTGTGAAAGATTAACCATTTTAACTAAAACATAGAGTAGAGTAAAATCTTAAATCACTGAATTAACCCTCCTTAATTTGAGGGAGCATTATGTAATTAATTAATTCATCCAATCAATTAATCACTGAATCAAAAGTTAAACACTGTTACTTTGCCTGAATGCTCTTGAAATATATACCTTACAATAATGTATTCTTCTCCAAGGCAATAATGATATCATTTGAGTGAAATTTTTCATTTTTTTTTTCTCAAATAAACTTTCTAGCAGTGTTTGAGCCATGTATTATAGATTATTAGTAATAAGGGATTTATTCTGATGTGGGAAAAAAATGACAAAGCTCGTGTGGCAGGGTAAAAAACAGCCCTGTCAGAGTGGATTTATTGCATATTTTCTCTCAAACTTTGGTTTAGATTATCTGTCATCCAATCATGATAATACTAGATAACTGAAAAGTAGGCAAATGGACTTTGTTCAGTGACAGACAAACTTGTTCTATGCAGCAAATTTGGAAGAGTTAATTTAACTCTTACAGAGTTAAATCTAAAACTTTTAAAGTGTCTATATTGGTCCACGCTTAATTGTTAAAATAACCCTTACGAAAATATTTAACAATGTGAAAGAGTTGAAACAATACACCTAATAATTAAAATGTAACTCTTTTCAGAGTGAATACATTAGTGTACACACAGTGGAGTATCAAAAGCTGACACTACAAACTAGCACTCAGTTCTATCTAATAGCACAAGAGGAAAGGGGGGCAGTGAGCGCCCTCACCAAATGGGACTCTATGTGATTCCACCGCACTTGTCATGGACACTGCATCTGGTCTGAACACCACCATTACATGATTATAAGGTAGAAAAGGGTTAAAAAGTACACTTTGTGGTGGTAATGACAGATCCCTAGGGACAGGTTATCTTTTTATGACAAAAGGATAAAATACTAATACATCTTTACTAGGGATGGAACGGTTTATGAAAACCGTCCGAACCGTTCGGTTCGACTGTCTCGGTTCGGTTCGCTTGTGTTGCGTTCTGTTCATGCGCTGCTCCATTTTCTCATAGGTGAAGCGTTTACACTCCAAAGCAGAAGGTGGCGGTACTGCGACCAAAGCCAACCACCAGTAGTAAACAAGAAGAAGAAGAAGCGAAGCAGCATAGCCGAAAAGTGTAGCAGAAAAAAAATCAGTTGTTGTGGAGAATTGTGTGGGTATGGCGAGTGGGAAAGAGCAGGAGTTGGAAGACGCGCCAGCAGCACTTTATAGGTCTGCTGTATGGGACCACTTTGCATTTAGAGTGACCTACGATGACGGCGGAAAGAAAGTTGTGGATAAAAGTGCAACAGTGTGCAAGCATTGTGCAACATGTTTTGTTTATGCTAACAGCAACATGACCAACATGTCAAGCTAACCCCGAAATCCCACATACTCCATCAGCGCCCCGCTCCGCTGCGCTCCAGACCGCCTGCACAAAGCAAAGCATACAGCCTCCACTGTGGCTCCCATCCGCTCCGCTCTGAGTTCCTTGGAGATCGTAGAGGGCATGCGCGAGATGATTAAATTCAAGGCAGCAAAACATGCGGAAATGATCCAGGGTTTCCGCGAATCATTAAAAGTAATTACAATTCATTAATTTTTGGGGATTTTTTTTTCATAAATTTCATTAAAAAAACATTTGATTAATTTTTATTACATTTTTTTTTTCGGTGTAGCAATAAACATATATACCGAACTGAACCGAAAACCGTGACCACGAAACCGTGAACTGAACCGAACCGTGCATTTTGTGAACCGTTCCACCCCTAATCTTTACCTAGCTAATTATATTTTCTGTTATAATTAAGGAATTTCTGCACCATTTGTCAATAAAGTTACTGCTGAACCAAATTTAATTTAACTTCAATTAAAAACCTGGCCAAGTGACAAAGGACAAATAGCAAAAACAATACTTTATATAATGTAAATAATAATTTATCTATCATAAATTGTTTGTTTTTTATTAAATGCAGAATAAATAGAAATGACAAACATGCATTTTTGTATTTCTTATTTCTGCCTTGGATAAACATTTCTTATTATTTCAAGAATCCCCTACAAATGATAATAGCTTGCCTTCATGCTTCCATCCAAACAGTTTGTGTATCTGCAACTTGATTGTTCTGAGCTTCTGCTATATGTTTTTGTTTTTAAATCAACTAAAGTTTGTGTGCATGAGGCCCATGTTCATAGGAAGGATTTGCAAATTACCTATCCTCTGTAACAATTTAACAACTTTTATTTCAGTTAGCGTATTATTGCAATAACTGTAATAAACCCTGTCCCTTTTATTTAGTGGAATATCATTTGTTCTGTGTGTTAATTAGGAAGCAAACAGTCACCTCACAGCAGCATTCTTTAAGTATTCATCTTTTTATACACTCTGCCCATGTTATCAAATGACAGGTCTAATAGGGCGAGGCGGAATGTGTAATCTCCAAAGCATTTAATTGATTACTTTTCATTAGCTGTGATCTATTACAGTCACAAAAGATTTTCTCAGCGGTTTTTGATTACCAGCTGTGGAAATTCTACCTCAGATATTGATGTCTCTGTGTTTCTTTGTAAAGAAACTCATCGGTAATCGAAAGTAACATACCAGCGCATTCCTAGCCCAGTGTAGTGGTAATATCAATCATTAACTGCTCTTAAGTTTTTAAAGAAGGAGCATATTTCTATAATAATTATAAAATATGGTTGAATCAGTGCTCTAACCACCCCTCCTTAAATGGAAGGAAACAGATTGAATGAAGTGTTCATATCTCACTGTACTTCCACCTCTCTGTGCATCACATTGTGCAGCTTTTGTTGGGCACCCAGACATATAATTTGTAGCTTGGATTTCCAGCTCACGTTGTCCCTCACAAGGGAAGCTGTGAGAGGAGGGACCAATCGCAGACCTCCTATGTCTGCACAAGCAACAGCCATGTGAAATCTGCAGACCATGGGGAATAAAGGAGGGGTCTGCACACCCACCACCCCCTCCTTTTGTTGTATACTCCCTCATTTATCCCAAAGAGAAAGAGGGACGGAAAAATTGGATATTAACCACTAAACCTTGACAGTTCACCTCTGGGTTCAGCAGCTACACTGTAAAGTCTGGGATTGGTGTATATATTTTGTCAAAAGCACATGGCCAAACATGTGAAGGACAGGATTATCAAAATAAAGTCCAAAAATGCTTAAATAAAATGATAAGAAAAGAAGAATTTTTGTGAAGGTTATGAAAATTTTAAGCTTTCCTATACTAATACCAAAACTTGATATAATTGCTCCTATTATTTCTCTTTCCAAAAAGCCTCATGGCATCACTGTGTGACTGCTGAATACCCTGGCTTAGTCAGTAGCTGCACTTTCATAGACGGACAACCATAATGGTGTCTGCTGTATACATATGACAACCTCATTGTGCCCACAGTAAGTGCATGCTCATGTGACGATGCGTATAGTATGTCATCTGAGAGTAGAATGTGTCATTGTGTTTGTGTGTGATACTAAGAGTGTGTTCAAGGAAATGCTCGGGTAAGTTCACCGGTTGCCATGTTGCTTTGCTGCTGCTTGTGTGAATGGACATGTGAGCCTGCTTAATGCTGCATCCATGACAATTATTACCCAGGGTGATGGGTCATAAAGCTACAATGCGGGAGCGTACAAATACCTTAATGAATGGCTCAAGTCACGAAGACAGACTTAGTGCATACCTTTTTATGGATGCAAGTATTTATTTTACAAACAGAGGCATTTCTAGTTGAAAATCCATATTTAAATTTACAAAAATAGAAGCAACTTGTATTTCTTCTCACAGTTTTACAGAGCTTAAACTTAATTTTAACTGTTTTACAGAAGTACTGCAATTATTCTTTATGCTAAACAGCAGAATATTTAAGCCTATTTTTCTACATATTGCTATCACATTCTTCAAAGTTCAACATTAAAATATATGGATGTTTGGCAGAATTACCCCAAAATCACATTGTTGACATCTTTAGTATTCTTCCAGAAGCTTCTCTCAGTGTTTTTCTAGAACTTTTGCCAGGTTTTAAGGCTAATTTACTTCACTTCCAATTTTTTTCTAATCGGATAGAAATCAGTACTTCTAAAGCCCTGCTTCTGTTGTCATTAAGCCATTCTCTAATTTACTACATATGCTCCTAACCATTGTTCTTCTTAAGACAGTTTTTTTCTGTCTAACCTTTAACTTTATATTTGATGCCTTAAGCTGTTGCCTCAATATTTGCACATAATGTCCCCATGATTTTGGCCCTTTTCCAAAGTGCCTTGGCCTTTCCCGCCTCAAAACACCAATAAATTATTATGCCACCACTCTATCATTTTTAGGATGGTTTTCCAGGCTTTTCTCTTTTACAGCTGAACCCTTTGAATTGACTGTGGTTTGATTTTACTGCTTGTTTAATGGTGACTTCCTTTTGGTATTTCTGTCTGTGTCGGCACAGGACTTTGTAACAAAGTGGTTCATAACATACTTACCAGTTACCACTGAAAAATCCATTATGGGACAATTCCCATTAGCGCATTAAGACATGGGTCTGTAACCCTCTTTAGTGTATCGGGTGCAATTAGATATTTTAGATTGATGTTTTATTTATTTAAGGATGGGCATTCTTAAAGAGACATTTTTTTTACTGAAAAATATCTTTAAAACTGCCTCTTTTTTTTTAAAACCCTTTATGATTAAAACATTGTTTTATGAGCAGACTGACACCTCAGTAGCTCAGTGCCAATGCATCTATCAGCCTGTAGCCTGCACTGTTTCTGCTAACGGCACGTCATGTGGGTCCATGTTGAATTGGTCTGACCTAGCAAACAATCAAAGCCTTGTATTCAAGAGGGATTTTGTGGTTACTCAGTAGAGACTGGCATCGTTCATTGCTCATCTCAGACACCAGTGGCGACTGTATGTAAGGTGAAAAAAGTAAAGAAAAGAAAAAAACTTGTCAAATACGAACATGACCTACGAGGACAAGCAGAACAGTGCTGCAGTTCTTCGTTTTGGCCACTAGTTGCAGCATCATTAGAAAACTCCATAATGCCTCTAAGTTTGATAGGTTTACTTGATAAGAAATAAAAATTACCTTTAAGTATTAAAAGTATTAAACCTAATGAATACTTGTAAAAACCAATCAACAGGAAATTAGTCCATTGATCTTTACACAATCTTTTGAATATTTTACACCTTAACTGAAAGTGAGCACATGCTGTCCACCTGTTTTTTTTTTCGTTTTTTTCTATGGGTCACTGTTAGAAACATACGGAGCTCCTAAAGGGACATGGAGGGGGAAAAAAAGAACTTTTGCAAGATCCCGCAATAGTTTTGAAAGATCTCGCAGAAGTATTGCAGGATCTCGCAAAAGTTTATTTTTTCCGGCCATGTCCCTTTAGGGGCTCCGTAGGATTGCATACTGACCTTGTTTCTCTTCATTCATGTAATGTTGTGTTGGAACCTCTCTAGAAAATAAGAACCTCTCCAAATCATCCTCCATGGTTGTAGCTGACACATGGGCGTATTATCCTCCCATAGAAGTACACTTTGCACCTCCACTGTTGTGTGTCTGTTTTACTTCCGGTTAGCTGACATGGCAAAACGTTTTGGGAGATCTCGCAAAAGCTTATTTTTTGCCATATCTCGCAAAAGTATTATGAGAACTCGCAAAAGTTTATTTTTTCCTCCATGTCCCTTTAGGGGCTCCGTAGAAACACAGCAATACAGATTTTTGAACGTATTTAAAAGATCTGGGTCTGATTCTGTCAGATGCTACTTTCAAATAATTTACCTAGACATCTCGATATCTAAGTCACTCAGCTTAATCTCACTTATTATGAAGGTTCTGCTGGTAAATGTGGATTTTGTGACTGGTATGTATCTCTTTGTGATCCTACAGAAACGAGAGAAGAGGAAACATGAAAAGATTTTGAGTGAAGAGCTTTACCCAGCTGTGATTAACCTCAATCAGTTCCTGCCTCCCGACCACAGGATTGACTACATTGCCTGGGATATGGCCCGCTACACCAAGAGGTAACCAGCATGGAGAGGGAAAATTATCAAATGGAGTATTATACAAAACAGTAATGCCTTATCTGTCTCTCAGTTGGGATATTCACATTGCTTGTTCATCAAAGTGAAGGGTAAATACAGAAAACCAGAGCATATACATAAAAACAAGAAAAAATAATGTTATGTATCATAAGTTATATAACCTGTATTTCAATGTAGTGCCCAAAACTACTGGAAAGCTGCAGTAATGTGGTCCTCTTATGAGTTTCCATTTGGAGACAATAAAGACAATTTTGTTTCTGTAGTAATACTTAAAATTGTTGTCAAAAAAATACAACAAATAATCATCGACGATCTCTTAGAGAAGTTCAGATTAATTGGAATTTGTTTCATACAGATATATTTTCAATTATCTAAGACTTTCTAATTGTATTATACTTGCACTTTATTTGTGACATTAATGCTTATAGGTTCTTTTCTTTAGAATAAATGATTTGTTAAAGATTTTTCCATTTTTGGATTGACGAAGGAAGTTGTAAATATGTACATAATATGCAGTATTGAATGCAAAGGTTCAATCATTTAAGCATGCTCTCACATTTCCCTCTAGCACAGCTAAATATTTTATTAAGAAAATAAATAATTTTAGTCAAAATAGCCAAGTTTACACACTGCCTGATTATCGGGAAATAAATAAACACTTCTCATTCTCTTTTATTCATTGTTTATTGATAAACCCCACTGCTGCATAATCAAGAAGCCCTACCTGTACACACAGGTAAATAGTAAACACAAAGAACATTTCTCCAAATAAAAACAAAAATTATTTAACAGAATACTTTAATTTAGTCAGAAAACTCTTCAATTAGGATATTGTCATTCAGCTAAACTAAATACTAAAGTGGAAAAAATAATGAAAACTAAAAAAACGGTGGCAGGCAAATTGTAAGAACTGTTCTGAATAGAGGCTATAGTTTTATTGTTAGCAGAGCTTTAGCATTAGCTGCTGGAATAACAGATGCACATTTCACAACATTTATATGTGCATTGTGGACATAGTTGAAGCTGATTCTGTGGAGGGAGGTAAAGGAAAACACAGGAAATGGGAGGAGCCAAAGTTGCAGGATCAGAGTGACGCTTTACCTGTAATATACTCTACAACACAAAGCCTTAGGGTCAGTAGCCTGTTTTGAAAGTGAAGCAATATTGTTGGTTTAATCTTAGATTAATATTTCTGCCCCTAACGTAAGCATTTGCTTCTTTCAAATCTCATTATCTCCAGGCAGTGGCTGGAAAACAAATTCCTAGCTGGCCAGCAAAATTGAAACAATTCAAATCTTGTCCTCCCATTAGCAGCCAGTAGAGTGTTGTGGGCAAAGATGAAGACATGTTAATTTGGGAATAGTTTCAAAGATCTGTGATGACCTTCCTGGTAGATTGTAGCTTGCAAAGTAAGTTAGAATATTTGACCTGCTCTTAGCCATGGTCAAACCTGAATGTCACAATGAGCTTGCTCCCCTTCAGCCGTTTATTGTAAAAACAGTTAACCGGGTCTTTGTTATACTCAGAATTTTTTTTCAGCCCAGCAGTTTGTGGTTATTCTCACACTTATGTGTACCTGCCAGGAACAATTTCCAGCACCAAAACCCTTGAACAGGCTTTGCCAAGCATCACACATGACATCTTGTACCTGAACAGCAGTAACACAAGCTTAAGTGGCCATTAATGATCTTTTCTTTTAACTTTTTTTTTTCTTTTGTAAAATACAAAGAAAAATGAAACGGACTATAAGTTCCTTCTCTGATATGCAGAAGAAGATTTCAATCTTTTTTTGTTGGTCAAGTGATAAAGGTGAAGAGACCCTTTCAGAGACCTAAACAAGTTTGTTCAAGGTTTGTAGAGGAGAAAAAAGTAACTTAGATGAAAAATAAAACACTAAATAAAGCCATTTATATAAGACTTGTATAAACATTAGTTTACCCTAAATAATGAGAGAAACATAATCTATCCTGTTTTAGACATAATCTACAACATAATATATTGTTTTTGTAATCTTTTGAATTACAGCCATCATTTCCTTGTGTAGCATTTGAAATGTTCTTTATTTTTCAGCAAATTGTGCAATGTTTTGGACCGCTTGAGCATGATAGCAGAGAATGTGGTTAAGCGAACAGGCTTTTTCATCAATCGCTCTGACTTCTACTGCCACACGCTCAGACCAGATGACAGGTGAACCTTTGGTTTTTAAAACTTCCCTACTTTTTTTATTTCCATTACAAACTAAACCGATTCACCCAGAGTTGTAATCACCATATACATATCCACAGAAAAACTAACTGTAAAACTTTGTCAGGAATATTTTACTTTTTGAGCGAGTCAATAATCCTCCTTGCTTATGCACGATCAAGTGTATTAGTATCGCTTGGGTCTGAAATATATTAATTCATAATGTAAATGATGGCTGATGGCTGGTTTAAGACAGAGAAACTTTCCTAATAAGCCAAGCAGATTGCCATCTCTGCACTCAGAGACTGGTCCCTCCATCGCCTGCATATTTTAATCGCTTTCAGCCACAATTACCATCCTATTATGTAACATTGCAGCCATGCCCTAGCCAATATTTATTACCCTTTCTTTTGCATTACACAATTATTGCTCACTTGCTTTGTTATGCATATTCATGCACACACAACCACATCCCGATTTAGACACTCATAGGAGTGGGTGAACTAATGGCACCTGTAGTCTGATTTTCACATTCTGTAGTGGCTCATGTCTGAATTTTGTTTTACTTTGTTTAATCGTTGTGTTTTCTTTCTTTTATTAAATTTTGTTTAGCTGATGTTGTCTCAGTACAGATCAAGTCACTAAATTCATGCTTCAACAAAGGAAACTTTGATTACAACACCCCTTAATATTTATTTTGTTAGTTTCACAGAGGCCTGCAAGAGTATTCACCAACTTTTTATGTTGAGCTACCTTACAACTAAAAATTACAATAGATTTTTTTTTTTAAATTGGTACATTTTTTATTAAAAGAACATACCTAAAACATTGAATAATTTTATTTTCAAAAGTTATTTTGTGAAGCGAACAATAAATTGAACAATATATAACAGAAAATGTCAGCGTGCATTATTCTTCAACCCCCATGTATTTTGCATAGCCTTCTTTTGCAGCAACGGACGTGACGACTTCTGCAAGATAGCTTCGCCCATGCGGAAATAAAACCTAGTGTAAACAAAGCTCGGACAGACACAGGACAGTTTTATTGGGAACATAAAGCACATCACTACCTGAGTCCTTTAATGAGGTATTTTGCCTGGTCAGCAAACCTTAAGGCAAACACTACAGGCATTGCCTCAGATGAAGAAATGCAATGTTTTTCCAAGCTAAGCAAATGCAAACAATGTAATTATGATTTGTAAAAAAAAAAAAAGAATTGTTTGTTATTTTCATACAGACAAACCTGTGTGCTCATTGTCCTGCTGGAAGGAAACCTCCATCCCAGCTCAGGCAGGCTCCAGTTTTTACTTGAGAAAAGCACGTATTTAGTATATTCCATCTTTACTTTGCCTCGGATGAGTTTCCCAGTCCCTGTTGCTAAAAAACATCCCCATTATATGATGCTGCCACTACCATGTTTCACTGCAGGGTTGGTGTATTTTATTTAATATCTTCAGCAGGGGGGGATCCTTTTTGTGAGGACTAAGAGATGCACATTTTTTTCTCACTTTGCTTCACCAGCTAACACTATTTTGTTCATATCCTCAACATAAAATAACATTTTAAAGCATTTAATTGGTTGAAATGCAAAAAAAAAAAAAGGTTAAAACACAAAACAATTACAAATAAATGTTTTATTTTAAAGTGAAAGATTTTTAATAATCTATAAGGTGCACAAAAAAATTTGATTTTTAAATTTTTAACATAGAAATTAGTCTTACGCAAACTATCATAAAGGATCTTGATAATTTCATAAATATTTTACTTGCTTTAATTAATCAACAAGCTCATTAAATTTGATTAATAAAAAGCTAGGGTGAAAATTATTCAAAAATGTAATTACTCTATTTTGTTAATCTCTATTGTCATTTTTCAGGTGGCGAGATGTGGGTGGATCTGTTACAAGCACTGGGCGACTACAGGTACATCACATAGCTTTGGTCTAACTAGATTCAAAATACTTTGTCACCTCTACTGCAGCAGCACTCCACTAGTGTAAAATTTTAGTTCTGAAATAGCTGACGAGGTTTTCAAGGCCTTGCTGCCATCAAAGGCACTGCCCTGGTAGGTTTCGAGGTCTAGCAGGTTTCTATATTTTATTTTAAAAAATGCAGTTAATAAAAGTTTCACTCAATTTTTTACTCTATACTTAACATACCGGTAACTGACCCAAAGGACAGAAAATGTAAAGAAAGTCCAGTAGCTCAATTTAGGCTTGACATTCTGGAATTTGTCTACTGTAGGTCAAAGGTAGCCACAGTAGGGGAAGAAAAAAAAAAAGTTCTATGATTGAAAACATGAATTAACATCTTATAAAATGAAGAATTTTTGGTCGGCAAATGTAAGAATTTTTTGCGCAATAAAAATGCTAAAGTAGATTCTACAAATTTGATAATTTGATTGTCATTAACAGTGTGGACATGGACTTTGTCCCCTCTGGAAATGGGAGAACAGGGAGGACAGACAATAAAAACACTGAAAGGAAGAAAAAGGAAGAAAAACAAAAAAAATCTATTATTTTGTGGATTCCTAAACTTAGACTTTTTCCTTTTTCTCAAATCACAGATAAACTTTAGCATTGTATCTTTAAAAATCATGTATGTAGTTAATAAAAACACAAACCCACCACAGTATTTGATACATTTGGTCTAATGCATTTAATAATATTAATTACTATTTAATTTTATTTATCTGACATTGGAGAAATTTAGCTCTGCATTGAATCCATCCCCTTGGAGAGCAGTGGCCTGCCACTGTGCGGCGCACAGGGAGCAGTGTGGGGTTAATGGTCTTGCTCAGAGACCCAGAGTGGCAGTCTGTGGGAGTGGGGCTCGAACTCAGAACCTCAGGATTCTAAGCCGTATGTCCTAACCACTAGGACGCCACTGCACTATTGTTTGGTCCTGGAAATAAATATGCTTCTTGTAGGTTATTAAGAATTTTTTTCTTTTGCAGACTGGTGTGTTGAGAACCAATTGTGTGGATTGTTTGGACCGCACCAATACCGCCCAGTTTATGGTGGGAAAATGTGCTCTGGCTTATCAACTGTATGCACTAGGAATGATTGATAAGCCCAAACTACAGTTTGATACTGACTGTGTCAGGTGAGACTCTCATAGTTTCCTATGGGTTTCCAAAGACAAATGTTATCATACAAATATGTCTTTAATTCAGATTTATATAACCTTTTCTTTTACGATTTAATATTGTTGTGGACTGTTTTTTTGTTTTTTCTTTTTAATCTGTCATCTGCTTTCTTCAGGTTATTTGAGGAGCTGTATGAGGACCATGGAGACACTTTATCTCTGCAGTATGGTGGCTCTCAGCTAGTACACAGGGTGAAAACCTACCGCAAGATTGCACCTTGGACGCAGCACTCTAAAGACATCATGCAAACATTGTCACGCTACTACAGCAATGCTTTCTCAGGTATGTCTGGCACAGACACAGTCACTTAACCAAAGTTATTAACAGTCTCTCAGTGAGTTAATCCTAAGGATTACTGGTGGTTAAAACCTAGATCAGGGGTCTGCAACCTTTAAAGACGACGCAAAATAAGCCCCCGAACAGCTAAATAAAAAGTCTTATTAGAGTTCTAAAAAGGACATTTGGATAAAACAGAACATGTTAAGTTTGTTAAATATCTGCTATAGGATTTTTTTTTATTACAATTTTAAACAGACAACAGGTTATTTTTATTTCAGGGTTTTAAAATAAGGATAAAATTTAACATTTCCTAAAAGGGAAGCATGGATTATCTTATAGTATGTCGATATTTGTGGAAAATTATGGGAAAAAGAAAAAGCACATAATTTTTAAGCTAAATAGACAAAAAAGAGATTTAACTATATATTTCTATTTTTAATTATGTCACCTGTTAAAATTTAATTCAGATATTATTGATAAACATGATATAAAAACCATTACCGTTGATTCTTTATCATTAGTCCCTATCAAGAGCCATTTTGGAGGGGCCAAAGAACCACTTGTGTCTCCAGATCTGCAGGTTGCAGACCCCTGAGCTAGATGAATGAGAGAAAAAAGCTGGTAAAGCTATATTTGTAAGGTTAGAACTGCAATTAAAAAGCCTCTTTATTGTGCAATGACATTCGTACAATAAAAATACATCAAAGTTACCGATTTTAAAAAGTTAACTTATTGAAAGAATTGGGGCATCACATTTAATTAAACCGCCATCCAAAGGCTCTTAGAAATCAAATTCTTATATACCTTTGCATATTCCTTATTAGTGATTCAATGATAACTGTAAATTGTATAAATGAAGTTGTCTGATTTTAAAAGTCTTAACTTTGTCGCCGTGTATTGTTGAAACTTCCTGTCATGGTGTGGAAGCGGTGGATTTTTGCCTCCCGTAGGACGATCATGCTCTGTTCCACTTTGTAATAATGAAAATCACACCCCAGCTTGTTGTTGCGTGATACTTTGCTAACAAGAAAAGAAGTCTGACTTAAAATTGATGTTTTCATGACACACTAGTGAGTCAGCTGTTATTACAACTGTTGTGTTTAATAGCAGACAAACAGAGCTGCTCTAATTTACCTGCTTAGTCAACTTCCTTTTTTGTGTCTAGAGTTTTATTAAGGTCAGTCAAATATTTCACAATTATAGGTCAGTTAAAGGGTTGCTTACTTCTTTCCACAGTAAATATGTTAAATTAGAGTGTCATTTTCGATTTTATATTAGAAGCACTTAAACAATATAGCAGAAAGTACTTTCAGAAACTGTTGTGATTTTAAAGAAATCCAAGTTGAAGAGTCTGAGATCACAGATTGGCTTAAGAAAGTCATAACAAAAAGACTAGATATAAAAATCATCCTGCTACCTTTTATCTATCTCTTCTAACAGGAAATCATGAACTTAACATGGCAGGGTAGCATTTGCTGCTTGGCTTTCACACCAATTTAATCTCTTCCAGCTAATTGTCATAAGTTTTCTAAACAGAGTTGAAATTACGCCTCTCAGTTGCTCAGAAATTCTTATAAAAATCCCTAAATAAGTCCCTTAGCCAAATGTTTCCCCACTTGATTCAGTTCTAATTTTGTCAGACTGTTAGAGTCTCGTCAATTCAAGTGCTTAGAGAGTTATTATAAAGATACATTTTGAGGCAAACACAGATGCCTTTTGTAAGAAGACCAACCACAGGCCTTTTTATTTAAAGGAGATTGAATAATTCTCGAGTGGATCAATTTTGTCCCTCTACTAACCCATAGCTCAAACTTCAAAAGTTAAAACACGTTATCCTGTTTTAACTTTTAAAATGGTGTAATGGTTGGGTAACCCCAGGTAAATCAAGAGGCTATCAAGCAAAATAAAGGTCTGTACTAAGACTGTTTTTGTTGATTTATGAGACCTTAATCTGGTCTTCAGAACATGACTGACAGAGAGTGCAACATCAGTACCCAATGATGTTTGGCATCCTTTGTACATTAAGTTTAGGCTACTATCATAATGGAGGTTAGCATATACGCATAATGCAAGTGATAAGAGATTCCTTTAGCTGCTGCATTTTTGAATCATTCCCAACAGATTTTGATGACCGAATTTCTGATATGATCTTGTGAATGTTGTGAGTTTTGGACGTCTTCTCATTTTACATGTTATTCTTACTTCATTTGGTTTAGAAATTTTGGAAAATACTCAAAACCGACATGCACATTTATGTTAGAATTTCTACTGGAAAGCTGGAAAAATGGGATGATACCAGAGTTGCTGAGAGGAGAAAAAAATTTGACCTTTCAAAATGGCGAAGAGAAGAGAAACTATTTTGTTTGAGTACTGCATTGTTAACCTTCTCTGTTGTTGGGTTTGTTGCATAAACAATACTGTAATATACATACATTTTTACAATATATCACCATTTAAAGTTGTGTTGGTTTTAAAATAACCATTGATGTTTGACTTGATCAGATCAGGCTAGCAGTCGGTCGAGGATAGCAGACAGTAGGGTACTGTGCAAACTGTGTTGTGATGTAGACTACAGTATTTCTTCATTTGATCTGTACTGTACGCCTGTGAGTGCATGAAAGCCAGCAGATGAGCCTCTAACTGTCTTGCCTAGTGGCAGGTCAAGATAATCTGTAGATTAACCATGTTCCTCTTCTCTACCACAACAAAAGCACATGAACACAATTTGCTCGTAATTTCCATTTTACAAGAAGAAAGGGTCATTTTTCCCACATGAAGGCAGCATTAATCTGTAAACTGAAACAAATTGCCCCTCAAGCACAATAAACTCCTACAATTCCGTTATTATCAATGCTATACTGTAGATACATTAAGGGTTTAGCGTTAAAAAGTCTAGAATTTTGATATTCAGAATGTGTTGGAAACTGGATATACTAGAAATGCCTAAATTAATCCAACATGCCTGAAAGTTTTGTGTTACCCCTACGGGTTTTAAAATAAAGGCACAGTCCACGGCTGTATCAAATCTACCACTACATTTAAACATGATTTTGAATATTTGAAGAAGAGCAAATACAGTTCATGCTGACATCTTTAACAGCACTGATTTCAGGGGAACAGACTGGAATGGATTTTCATCTTCTTATTAACATATTACCACATTCTACTGTGTTCATTTCATTCATGAAATCCATTTGCACACGTATGTTGTATTTTATTATTTTTTTTTTACCATATCATATCATTAATTTTACTTGGTGATTTACCAGTAATATAATTCTTAGAATTACCTGGTATTTTCGTCATGCTTTAATGGACCTGAAATTGGCTTCTAATTATCCAGCTCCACTGCTGGAGCAGCTTGCACGTGGCTTCACAGTTGGACGGTGGATTAAATGGCTCTTAACTGTGCAACATGCAAATCATGTGCCACAGAGGGAGAATATAAACATTTACTGAGATTATGTTGCAGCTTAGAGCATTAAATTACAAACAAAAACTTTTATAATATTGGAAGCCTGCTCGATATTGCCTTTCTCCTCTTGTAGTCAGGACCTGAGTATAGTAAAATATAACTCTCTTCTATTTTGTTTATATACGTTGATCTTTAGTTTCTGTTGCTTATGTTTGGACCCTTCAGATGCAGACAGACAAGATGCCATCAACTTGTTCCTGCAGGTTTATCAGCCATCAGAGGGGAAGCCACATCTGTGGGAGCTTCCCACTGACTTTTATCTTCATCAAAAGAGCACCATGGCCCTTCAGCACAACAGGCGCAGGTAAAGATATCGCTATCAATCTAAATCCTCTTATATGTGTAGGCAACTCCCCAGAGTTAATTCCCATGGCATAAATATCTATTAATGATTGCAGAAAATGGGAGGAGTTCGGAGAGGCCATGGAAAAAGACTTATCGGTTGGCCTCAAAGCGATTCTGGCAAACCATCCGGCGCCTCCGGAGGGGAAAGCAGTGCTTCGCTAAGACTGTTTTCAGTGGGAGTTGGGAGCTGCTGACCTTGAAGGAGGATATTGTCGGGCGGTGGAAGGAATACTTTGAGGATCTCCTCAACCCGACAGACACGCCTTCCATGGGGGAAGAAGAGACAGGGTGCTTGGGGCAGGATTCGTTCATCACCCAGGCTGAAGTCACCGAGGTGGTCAAAAAACTCCACGGTGGCAAGGCTTCGGGGGTGGACGAGATCCGTCCTGAGTATCTTAAAGCTCTGGATGTTGTTGGGCTGTCATGGTTGACACGTCTATTCAGCATCGCGTGGAGGTCGGGAACAGTCCCCCTGGATTGGCAGACTGGGGTGGTGTTTCCCCTCCATAAGAAGGGGGACCGGAGGGTGTGTTCCAACTATCGGGGAATCACACTTCTCAGCCTCCCCGGAAAGGCCTATGCCAGGGTGCTGGAGAGGAGAGTCCGGCTGATTGTCGAACCTCGGCTGCAGGAGGAGCAGTGTGGTTTTTGTCCTGGCCGTGGAACAGTGGACCAGCTCTACACCCTCTGCAGGGTGCTTGAGGGTTCTTGGGAGTTTGCCCAACCAGTCCACATGTGTTTTGTGGACTTGGAGAAGGCATTCGACCGTGTCCCTCGTGCTGCCCTGTGGGGGGTGCTCCAGGAGTATGGAGTCGGGGGCCCTTTATTAGGGGCCATCCGTTCTCTGTACAAGCGGAGCAGGAGTCTGGTTCGCATTGCCGGCATTAAGTTGGACTCCGACAGGGCTGCCCTCTGTCACCGGTCCTGTTCATAACTTTTATGGACAGGATTTCTAGGCGCAGCCAAGGACCGGAGGGGGTCTGGTTCGGGGACCAGCGGATCTCGTCCCTGCTTTTTGCAGATGATGTAGTTCTGCTGGCTCCCTCCTGCCAAGACCTACAGCGTGTGCTGGGGCGGTTCGCAGCCGAGTGTGAAGCGGCCGGGATGAGAATCAGCTCCTCCAAGTCCGAGGCCATGGTTCTCGACCGGAAAAAGGTGGCTTGTCCCCTTCAGGTTGGAGGAGAGTCCCTGCCTCAAGTGGAGGAGTTCAAGTATCTTGGGGTCCTGTTCACGAGTGAGGGAAGAATGGAGCGGGAGATCGATAGACGGATCGGTGCGGCTGCTGCAATAATGCGGACGCTGCCCCGGTCTGTCGTGGTGAAGAGAGAGCTGAGCGAAAAGGCAAAGCTCTCAATTTACCGTTCGGTCTACGTTCCTACCCTCACCTATGGTCATGAAATTTGGATCATGACCGAAAGAACGAGATCCCGGATACAAGCGGCTGAAATGAGCTTCCTCCGCAGGGTGGCTGGGCTCTCCCTTAGAGATAGGGTGAGGAGCTCGGTCATTCGGGAGAGGCTCAGTGTAGAGCCGGTTCTCCTCCACATCGAGAGGAGTCAGTTGAGGTGGCTCGGACATCTTCTTCGGATGCCCCCTGGACGCCTCCCTCGGGAGGTGTTCCAGGCACGTCCCACTGGGAGGAGGCCCAGGGGACGACCCAGGACACGCTGGAGAGACTACGTCTCTCGGCTGGCCTGGGAGCGCCTAGGGCTTCCCCCAGCAGAGCTGGAGGAGGTGTCTGCGGAGAGGGAAGTCTGGGAGTCTCTGCTTAGTCTGCTGCCCCCGCGACCCGGTTCCGGATAAAGCGGGAGACGACGAGTACGAGTACGATTGCAGAAAATGTTGGGAAACATATTTTATGTGCAAAAAAATGTCAAAAAAACAACCACACCTTAAAAATATCCAAAATTATTTAGAGAGAAGCTTAATGTCCTTGGTTTTCAATGCCGGTACCAGTGAATAGCCTGCCCTGTACTTCCTGGTACCGTTTTGTGCATAAAACCCAGTGTAGAAAATTGATAAATTTTGCTTCTGAAATAGTTCAGCAAAGACACTATCCAATAAAAAAGGTGCAAATTTGGAAGGACGGAAATGACTAACTGTAAACAATCCATCATATTATAAAAGGGGCAAGCATTATCAGGACAAAAATAAGTGGCGTAGCTGTTTCCTGCAGATCAGCTCTGAGTTGTACACTGCTAACATAACTGCTAGCCACAAATCACAAGTCTGTTCCTTTAGTAGAAATATACATCAACCCTCCTCCATGATCTATTGTCCAAAATAAGGCTCAAACATCACTTTTTCTTCTGACTTGTTAAAATATTAACATTTGGAACTTGAATCTGACAGAAAATGTAGGAGCCAAACATGAAGTTGATGGCAACAAGGTCTTCAAACCTCATGAAATTGTCAAAATGGATGCAGAAACATTTAAATTCACACATTTTCCTCAGCAGTTATAAGGACATTATTGCTGTAGCTCCAATTAAGAGTTTTTCATTGATATATATTTAAAGGTGCTGGGTTTAAATAATTTTTGCTTATACATTTTATGATAAAATGGCACTAGAAGCAGCATTTTTCTTTTATATTGATTTCTTTTTATTATTTTTTTACAGTATATTAGAATGATATCAACAGTAAATCTTGCTGGTGTATGAACAATTTTTTGCTTAGCTGTGTATAGCTCCTTTGGTAAGAAGATAGTGTTATATTTGAGTTTTTGACCCAGTATCACTTGCTTTATCTCTGTGTGTATTCATGTTCCACACTGACGTGTTTTTTATGCTTACACAAAAGTAGAACTAATTTTCTTTTCTGGACCACAAGCCTTTTTGACAACAATGGGCCCAGCAACCGGACTCATTATTGTGACAAATTAGCATGGGTCCAGCTGTAATCAGTTTGGCTGCCGTGTATTGTCCTGTTTCTCTCCGACTGACATAAGGGACAAATCACAGTAAGTGCATTTCGTCTTTCATAGCACTGAATAAGAGTCCGGTCTGTTCAGCAGTACAGTACATGACAAGCCAATTTTAAGATCTGGGTTAAGTAAAGCCTCAAATGAGAGCATAGATACAAGGTAACGCATTGGGCTGTAAAAAGGTTTTCTGAAGAGTTTAATAAATGTTTTTCATCTCACTTGTTTCCAGCTACACTCTTTGGTGGTCAGGTGGAGTCCTGTCGTACCTACCTATACCGTATGATGAAGGTAACTCTTATATTGAGAGAATATCTGTATCAGAACTGTGTCACCCACATCTGCATGCTCTTTCTATTCATCATGTTCCAGGTTAGAAGGAAATGTTGAGTAACCAAGCTTTAATGCTGTTTGAATCTACTTAACTGAGCTATCTTCCATCCATTTAATTTGAGTAACTTTTAAAATTATTTCCAATAATTTCACTCACTGTATATTCACTAAAAAAAGCCAAATAATTTATTCAGATGAATTCAATCTCCAGGAAACGTCCCTTTTAAATAAATTCTGCAAACCTCCATCACTTATATTTGTTGCAGTTAAAAAACTATTGTGTAATTTTTCGGCCTTATTTATATTGCCATCACTGGATTTGAATTTATAGTTTATTTTTTTTTAGATTTTCTGCTTTACATTATATGCAATGATACATCATTCTGTGGTAAAGGCAAGCATAGTTTTCCTATAGTGTTATTTTTAAAATCTCTCAAAAGTAATAGGAAAAAATAACAAACAGAGAAGAGGGAGGTGCTTGAAAAAACTGAATAACATGAGAGACTTGCCTTGTTTTGTTTTTTGTCTTTTCCCTCTAAACTTAATTTCTTTACCACACTATTATTTGTGGTCCTTAATTCTAATATCATTACTTACATTTAACATCCACACCTACCTCGAAAAATGTATCCCAAGGCAATGCAAAAACTTTTTCAAGATGCTTTCATCGCTTTCTGGCACCCCTGCTGCTATAGTTGGCCCATTCAGTTTTGTTTAAGGTGCAATCGTTTTATTACTTTTTCAAGACAATATTTTTTCCCCTTATAAAAAAAAACTAACAAATTATTATACAGATAATTAAACAGATAATTATAACAGACAGTGCCAGCAATATAAAAAGATGGATCATAACCATAAAAAGCAACACATAACAATCAGTAACAACCAGTGCACTTAATACTTTCTATTACAGAGTTTTTGGAAGGGCAGATGTAATGACACAGCGTTCCAGTTCCAGACCCGGTAGATTGTTCACATACGTTATTACGGAGTCCCAGGTTTTGTGAAATCTGCTGATGAGGGTAAATCTAATCTTTTCCAGTTTAACATGTCTCTAATCCAGTGAAGAGATTGAGGAGTAGCCACCTTCCACTTGATTAAAATCAAATGTCTAGCTAATAAAGAAGAAAAGGCAATGACCCTCTGTAAGTGTGCTGTCAGGACTAAGATGTTTACAGATGTTCGAGCTCGGCCTGTTTTTCAGTGTAATCCTGTTTCTCTGATCTGCTCTCTTCAATAGCTGGTCTTCCTGGCTGTGTGTTTCCTGGATGGGGCCGTTGACAGTTGCGTTTTTTTTTCTTTTTTTCCCCCAGTATTTTATTTACAGTGTCACAAGTACAGTGCACCAAAATACACTCTGTAACCCATTCCCTTGGGTCGATGCAATCAACTGGTTTTCCTTAGATAGAAAACTTTTGAATCAACTGTATGATCTGGTAGAACTGTAAGGTGCCTTGAGATGAGGTGTTGTGAATTGGCATTATCTAAATAAACTGAATGGAATTGAATTAAATTGAATTCCTGTTGGATTAGAAAAGATGTAATGTGATTAGCCGAAGCTTGAGAGATTACTTAAAGGAGGATCACCAGAAAGGAACGAGTTTTGGACAAGACCAGAACATAGTATGGTAGTAAGTAGCTGACATCTGTTAACATCTGTCACATAATGGGTCTACATTCGGAAATGTTCTTGCTAATTGAGCATTTGGGAAGTGTAGCCTATGCATTACTTTGAACTTTATTAGCACATGTCTGGAATCTCATTGGATAGGGTTGGTGATGTATGGTATTAAATCATCTGCATAAAGCGAGACGGTGTAAGTATACCATCATTGAGAATTTCAGGTTCTTGTTTCATTCTTTGGGAATATTATTAACTGAACTAATGTTTATTGATCTTACACTGGAGAAATTTACCTCTGCATTTAACCCATCCCCTTGGGGAGCAGTGGGCTGCCATTTTGCGGCACGCAGGGAACAGTGTGTAGTTAAGGGTCTTGCTCAGAAACCCAGAGTGCAGGCTGTGGGGATCGAACCGGCTACTTGCAACCTTCTCAGAGCACAAGCGCACTGCTCTAACCACCAGGCCAACACTCCCCAAATACTCAGATCAGATGTGCAGGACTGGTTTTATGATTGTTTTTTTAATTGATTTATGTGAAAAGTGTTCAGAATACACTTTTTTACATATAAACATGCAGTTTTTCTTAAAGCAACCTTTGTCTTAATATTGTTTTTGAACTTGATGTCATTATGTTGATCATTTTCAAACATTGCAGTGAATATTAATGAGACAAACAATAACAGTTTTTGTTTTTATTGAGGTTGCTTTCTTTACCTGCCCATCTGTAACTGTTCCTCAGTATCTATTTATTTTTTTGTGTGCATGCAGCCGCCTGTGAAGAGACAATGAAGACGATCAAAGTGAAGAGGATGAACCACTTTGATGAAAATGTTGACATCTACACAGAGTTCTTCAAACCTTATGAACTCACCTCCTTTGATGACACTTTCTGCATTGCAATGACCAACTCTGCAAGGTACATATGCCCCCAAACACACACCAACATATTTTCAGTTTTAATGTGACTTTTAATTATGTAGACATTGCTAATTTATAGTTTAAGAATTTATGATGATTTCATTACACTTTTTTTAACAGCAAAACAAATGGGTATTGAATGGTCACCTTTTTTTGTCATTGTTACAAAGGGAATTTATGCCAAAATCTGTTGGGGTGGATCCAAGTCCATTCACTGTTAGAAAGCCAGAGGAAACTGGGAAATCAGTGCTGGGGTGAGTCCCTCTTTAACCATGTTCGTTTTGGATGTTATTGTTTTGTTTTTTTGAGTGGTGAATCCCATGTCACTGTGCCCTTACACAAACACACAGCTTCATTAATCATCATGTTCTCAGGTAACCAGAAAATACAGCCTGTCCTTTTCCGGGTTTTTGTTGAGCGGACACATTGATGAGCTCTGTTTTTGAATGCATGCATTTCTGCAAATCAAAAGCTAAAATGGGCAAACATTACCAGGAAAGAGAAAAACGCCTAAAGCTTTTGATGTCTTCTAAACGCTACGGCAGCGCATCAATACCTCCGGTAAATATTCATGACATGTCAAATGTTCTGTGCTGAGTCACAGTTTGACCTCAAAACAAATATTGTGAAGTGATGGAGATGGATGTTGTGACATCTGGATACATTTATTGAAGAGACCCCACCTGCGTGTAATTTAATCTCTCTATAAACACAACTGTCCTGTAATGGCCTTATGCATCGATTTGACAAGCAGCCAAGAGGACACATGGTTACTCTGGAGGAGCTGCAAAGATCTACAGCTCAAACTGAAGAATCTTACGATGAAACAAAATTAAACCAAACTAATGGTCATTAATCCATCATACTTAAATCAGCTTCCCATGAAACATGTTTTAATAGTTTTTAGCTGTAATAAAACCATTAGAATGATTCATTTTTTCCTCCACTTTACAGAGATGCATTTCTTTGTTTTGGTCACATAAAGTTCCCTCTAAAAACATGAAAATATGCAGAAGCATTAATAAAAAATGAATAATACTTTGTAGATTTTCTTCCTATTTTCTGCAGGCATTTAAACTCAGAATTACTAGATTTCAGATGCTTCACCTCGCCATCAACCAGTGCAATAAGCTACTATTTTCTGCAATTATTATTATTTTTAATTGAGATAAAATCAAATTTTAACCTTCCTTTAGAAACAGAGCATGAAAACAGACACATTCTAGTTGGCAGAAGCACTTAAAATGACAAGAAATTATTTTTGAGCGATTTAAAAGAGATTCTAGTGACACTCTGATGCTTCTTCACAGGATGAGGGTTTTCCCTCAGATACCCTCTGAGAGAAATCTTATGATGCGTATAATAGATCAATGAAATGCTTTTCCCTGTTTAACAGCAAGAGCAGCAAAGAAGAGACGGTTCTCCAAAGGAAGACTGCAGCCAGTGCACCTCCTCCCCCCAGTGAGGAGGCCATCTCCAGCACTTCTGAGGACGACTCAGAAGAGGACCGGGACGATGAAGGGACCGTTTCACAACGCTCTACCCCGATCAAGCTGCTGACAGAATCAGGAGAGAACAGTCGCATGCAAGAAGTAAGATAAATCGGCGATAAATAAGCAAAAATAAATCCTCGCATCAAAGCAAAATATCATTGCAATCAAATGTGACTTCCTCAGAGTTCAGATGCACTCTGCTAAATTAGCCCTAAATCACTCCTCCCACCAACTGTATTGTTTTATAACTTTTGCCCCTGATTTTTTTTATAATCCTTCCACATGATAATACCAATAAATGTAATCCTCTAATGCATGTGTCAAACTGGTTCCAGAAATGGCCGTGTGGCTGCAGGTTTCCTCTCCAACCAAACAATAGCACACCAGACTCCATTCATATTATCAAGTCATCACGTTCAGATTGGACTCCCTTGATGAGATGACTGGAGTCTGGTTTGCTATTGCCTGGTTGGAAAGAAAAGCTGCAGCCACAAGGCCCTTTCTGGAATCAGTTTGACACCCCTACTCTAATGCAATATCCGGGCAATTTTAACTGCTCGTATTTTAGGCCTTAGTGGCATTTTGCCCTCAAATGCAAGAATCTCACCTTTACCTGAAAATATAGTCAGTCTCAAAAAATGTATTTTATTCTTTTTACATCAAACTGAACACTAGATATCAGCCTAGTCACACATTATAATGAGTAGAAGACCAACAAAGTGAGCTTAATGTTGATTTTAGCTAAAAATAACACAATTTCACATTAGTATAATTTGTAAACCAGCTGTTTCCAACTATAACTTGGCAATGTTGTCAGGGGTTTAAAGGGATATACAGGTGTCATAAAGTTGTGTGAAACGTAGATTGGACTCACCTGATTCAGTGGCTGGGCAGAACAAATACATGACATAGAGATTAGTTGTTGACTCCAGCTCCCCTGTCTCTGATTCACCGTCTGTAGGTAAGATGTACAGTGGGGCAAAAAAGTATTTAGTCAGCCACGAATAGTGCAAGTTCTCCCACTCAAAAAGATGAGAGAGGCCGGTAATTTTCATCATAGATATACCTCAACTATGAGAGACAAATTGAGAAAAAAAATCCAGAAAATCACATTGTCTGATTTTTAAAGAATTTATTTGCAAAATATGGTGGAAAATAAGTATTTGGTCAGTTACAAACAAGCAAGATTTCTGGCTCTCACAGACCTGTACCTTCTTCTGTAAGAGGCTCCCCTGTCCTCCACTCGTTACCTTCATTAATGGCACCTGTTTGAACCCGTTATCAGTATAAAAGACACCTGTCCACAACCTCAAACAGTCACACTCTAAACTCCACCATGGCCAGAACTAGAGAGCTGTCAAAGGACACCCGAAACAAAATTATAGACCTGCACCAGGCTGGGAAGTCTGAATCTGCAATAGGTAAACAGCTTGGTGTGAAGAAATCAACTGTGGGATCAATTATTAGAAAATGGAAAACATACGAGACCACTGATAATCTTCCTCGATCTGGGGCTCCACGCAAGATCTCACCCCGTGGGGTCAAAATGATCACAAGAACGGTGAGTAAAAATCCTAGAACCACACGGGGGGACCTAGTGAATGACCTGCAGAGAGCTGGGACCAAAATAACAAAGGCTACCATCAGTAAGGCACTACGCCGCTAGGGACTCAAATCCTGCAGTGCCAGACGTGTCCCCCTGCTTAAGCCAGTACATGTCAAGGCCCGTCTCAAGTTTGCTAGAGAGCATTTGGATGATCCAGACGATGACTGGGAGAATATCATATGGTCAGATGAAACCAAAATAGAACTTTTTGGTAAAAACTCTACTCGTTGTGTTTGGAGGAGAGAGAATGCTGAGTTGCATCCAAAGAACACCATACCTGCAGTGAAGCATGGGGGTGGAAACATCATGCTTTGGGGCTGTTTTTCTGCTAAGGGACCAGGACGACTGATCCGTGTGAAGGAAAGAATGAATGGGGCCATGTATCGTCAAATTTTGAGTGAAAACCTCCTTCCATCAGCAAGGGCATTGAAGATGAAACGTGGGTGGGTCTTTCAGCATGACAATGATCCCAAACACACCGCCCGGGTAACGAAGGAGTGGCTTCGTAAGAAGCGTTTCAAGGTCCTGGAGTGGCCTAGCCAGTCTCCAGATCTCAACCCCATAGAAAATCTTTGGAGGGAGTTGAAAGTCTGTGTTGCCCAGCGACAGCCCCAGAACATCACTGCTCTAGAGGAGATCTGCATGGAGGAATGGGCCAAAATACCAGCAACAGTGTGTGAAAACCTGGTGAAGACTTACAGAAAACATTTGATCTTTGTCATTGCCAACAAAGGGTATATAACAAAGTATTGAGATGAACTTTTGTTATTGACCAAATACTTATTTTCCACCATATTTTGCAAATAAATTCTTTAAAAATCAGACAATGTGATTTTCTGGATTTTTTTTTCTCATTTTGTCTCTCATAGTTGAGGTATATCTATGATGAAAATTACCGGCCTCTCTCATATTTTTAAGTGGGAGAACTTGCACTATTGGTGGCTGACTAAATACTTTTTTGCCCCACTGTAGCAGTTTCGCCACCGTCACTGAGCCTCCTGCTCTAAGAAACGGCTGGTAACGCAATGGAGACTAAGTAGTTTTGGTAGGGTACAGGTGTGTCGTTAATCGAAGGTTTTTAATCTAGAAAAACTATGCATGTGTTTTGTTAGACTCTATCAACTATGGTAAAACATGTCAGACCTTGATATCAATTAGAACTATTTTTATGCCGCTATCATTAGTTGCGGAAGACCGTTCCTGTCACAGAAATGAACTAAACCGCTTATCAGCATACCAAATAGTTGTTTACAAAAGTGAACTATTAGGTAATTATTAGTAATTACAAATATCTACTGGAAGAGGAGGAAGGCAGACGGTCTCGACAGGCTTAAGTGAGTGATGAGAGACTGCTGGGAACGTCTGGCACAGCCCTCTGTCAGGGACGTGTTTCCTCCCCCACCTCCTGGAGAGCTTCTCCCAGATTCTAGGTAAAGCTGGAGACATGGAGTCGGAGTTGGCCATGTTCTCTGCCTCTGTTATCATTGTGGGAGACGGTAGCTGTTGTCGTAAGATCTGTGGTGCCTATTGTGGCAGCAATCCCTGAAGCCGGTGGTGGACACAAGCGGTATAGGATGCTGTAAAGCTGAAGGAGGAGCCCTATCTTGCTTTGGTTGGATGTGGGGCTCCTGGGGCACCAGGCAGGTATAGTAGCAGCCATTCAAAATGACCATTCCCAGCCACTGGATTGACCCCCTCCTTTTCCTGGGCATGCATATTTTTTTCCTCTGACTCCACCCTTTCACTGAATTACAGGGTCTGACCATGAGTAGGTGCTTGTCTTTAGATCTTAATATTCACACATCATGATAGAAAAAATATTATAGTACAAAGATTGATGTTAAAAAAAGTGTGGACATTTTGAATGGTTTCTACTGCACAGTTAAGCCAAACAATCCTTCTGCTGGAGCCATTGATGAGGTAAAACACCATGTAAAAAATATATAGTTCTGTTTTTCTTTTATAACATAATAATTTGTAAATAAAAAGGATTTCAGAAATGTATTTTGAGGAAAACATTTTGTTGTTTTTTTTGTATCATAGGAGTTAATTGTTGTTTTATCTGTCTTCTGTTCTCCGCTTTAAATTAAGTTATCTTTAAGTAGACTAAAGTATGTAGGGCGTGTGGAGTGGGATTTGTCTTGTTTTAGTATACCAGTCTCGTGCAGGTGATGGCCTTTTTTGGGCCTCATTAGCTCTGCTTTTTTGATTCCTTGCTAAAATTGATTTTGATCTCTGATCTGGCTGCTGAAATAAATTAAAGTAGGTCAGAGTTGTAGGCAATCCTAATTTATTTTTAAAAAATGCTGTCACTGTTTATATGACTAATCATATTGTACAATTGCTTTGATTTGTTTATTTATTTTAAATAAAGAGTGTAGTTAATTAACTTTTGATAAAAAAAAAAAAATGTAAATTTATTAGTCTTACACAGGAGAAATTCACCTCTGCTTTTAACTCAGGGACCCAGAGTGCAGGCTGTGGGGATCAAACCGGGTATCTGCAGCCTTCTCAGAGCACAAGCGCTCTGCTTTAACTACAAGGCCCCCACACATGTTTTAGATTGTTTTTTACCTCAGCAGACCTTCTTAAACCTACTAATGCATCTTTCCCTGGGCTCTACTCCTATTTTTCCACCATTATTTTCTACTCCTATTTTCCACCATTATTGTTTTTTTTTTTTGTACCGATACTGGCTTTGTTTTTTCCGCCCTGCTCAGCAGACGGTACAATCAGAGATGAGTACTAATACTAATTTAAAAAGTCCAGTACCAATAGTGAAGAAGCAGTAATGGAAAACATTACATTGGAAACATTTCCAAACTCAGAGTGGAGTGGATATGTTTCCAGTATATTTTGTTTGTTTCATCCTTTATGCAAGATTCCTTTTACATCCATCTTTTCATCAGTCTTTCATCTCTTATCAGTCGGTTCTTCTGTCCATTCCTCTTTTCATTCTTCTTACAATTTGTGTTTTATCGCTGCATAAAACTAGTGCTGTAGAAAAATCAGCAACAAGTTAATAGACAAGTTCTTTTATTCATTCATTATTTTCTAAATTGAATAAATGGCATGTAAAATCATACCAGTCTGAATCTAGGAAGGTTTGGAGTTTTGCCAAAAAATGGTGTTAAGATCTGAAGCAAGCTGCTCTTCAATTAAATTTGTAACAAAGATTTACCTTAAGAGCAATTAAGACCTTTGTTAAGAAAAAGAAATGGTCGAGATGCTTGTTTTGGGGCTGCTTTTATTTCCTTTATATTTAAAAAACTGCTATCTATTTATCTCTTTATTTAGGGGTCTTTAGTAGGAAAACATAAAAAAAAAATACTAATAGAAAGGTGTCAGAAAATTTCTTTTTTGAAAATGTTCTCCAGGTCATCGGCAGTCTACAGGCTTTTTTCAGTCACTATTTGCAACCAGTCCCAGTTTAGGAAAACGAAACAAGTTGGTAAATGTTTTTTTCAAAACTTTGTTTGTATTAAATCTCAAT